ATAGGGTATAGTACGCCATAACAGCAAAAAGAGGGAACCGGGCTCTGATACCAAACTGTAACACCCTACCCTATACGTTTTGCCTAATCATATTGTTCATACAATTGCAGCGGAATTAATCTTGGGTGTTACATTAATTATCAAATTTTACCTAAATAAAATTTCGACATGAATTACTCGCGTAATGGGCTAACAGTTCTTGCAACTGAACCTGCAAAATAATTCATCACAAACATATATACTCACAACCATATGCATTGGCTTTTCTTAGCCATAGTCACACTTTTCATACTTCCTAACTGCATACCATACTTATACATACCATAATCGTCAAAACTTACACAGTTACACAACATATACACATATCATTAACTTTCCACACCTATGGATATCTCACACTACATCAGAAGCTAGTATGCACATGAAAAACGTTCTCAAAACATTTTTTTACAAAAAGGTGTGGATCACTGGCCAAAATCCCGAGTAGTAGACCAAGCATAGAATAGTTGAAGACCATACCTCATCCTGGCTTCAACTCTAGCTCCTCTCCCACCTAACACTTATCTACTGCTGCTGCTGATGATCTGCTTACACATAGCATAAGTAGAGAAGAAGGATAAAAGAGGGTCAGCTCATAGCTGAGTGAGATAATCATAGCATCGTGAGTTCATAACATAGCATACCACTACCATACATCTAGCAAACAAGCCAAAGCACTAGGATCAGATCTCAGCCCTCCGACATCCCAATAGGCAAAAGACTTAACCACCTTGACTTATGCATATGCATCTTATCATGTTTTAATCATAGGCGCCTGGCTACTCCCATGCTAATAACTCTCCCGGGAAACATACCCCACATCCCGTCGGATGTAGTCATACATACCCCAACATCCCGTCGGATGTGGTCATACATACCCCACACCACTATGGGTGTAGTCATACCCCGACACCGCTCTGGGTGTGGTCATATCTCGTAAGAATTCTTCAGTCACCACCACATGAGAGGTGTGACTATCATACATATCATAATAGAGTAATAGCATAGGGAGCCCTAATTACTATGTAGTTGACCGTGAGACCACAACACTCATATTTGGTATCCTTGTACATGATTCATATCTCATCTTGCTTAATCATAATTCATTACTTGCACATGTACTTGACCAGGCCACCATTGGCTCAACATAGGTAAATCAGGAGTCGCATAATTGCACTTCCTCGGGATAAACCCTCGTGCAAGTCATCCTGCTTAAAACATCATAATATCACCCTGGGAAGTTTATTTCCCCCACTTGTGAATCCAAATACAACCACAATATCACATCATATCAAAACACCTGATCGAACAACCATGAATTCATATCAACGGTTAAGCCACAAATGGCAACATGTATGCAATCATCAACATAAACAAGGTCCATATCGGCTAGGGCAAATCAATAATATCATACAACAGTCCAGGGTTCATCATATAACACAAAAGTCCATACACCCCTAATCATGCCATTCTAGTTCACCTAGGTCAATTCTAAGCATCAAAATAATTATCGTGATACGACAAACCCGGTATGCCGTGCTAATCCCTCACCAGTTCTGGTCGTTCAAACACCGGTTCTAGCCTCCCGTACTAAAACATCAATTTCACGAACGAACCCCGAATTAAAATCCGAGACCGTCCTAATATCCCCTGCAGTATCCCCGTCAATATTAGTTCTGGGCTCCAGGCCAAACTCTCGATAAAAACACATCAAACCCTGGTCGGAGCTAAATTCAGCGGTTTGGACCCCGGCCTAAATAATTGCCGAAATTCAGAGATTAGAACTAGAGGATTGATTACCTCGCTGCAGGAAGCTCGTATATGAAATTTGGGCTCAATCCGGCTTCCGGATACTCCGAAACCCTAATTTGGCAGATCGGGAATTCAAGAAATTCGGGATTTTTGGATCACTTATGCTCAAGAATTAAGCTGGAGAATTTTCCCCCGACGTTCCCTGAACTTCGCTTGCTCTGTTTTTTTTTCTCTCGGTTCGAAAGTGGAAGGAGAAATGGCATGAGAATGGAAATGGACGGTAAAATTTATATCCCGACCGCTTTTATATATATATATATATATATATATATATATATATATATATATATATAATTAATACGTATACTTATCCGATCGATCGATAATCCGATTTTCGTCGAAATACTAACAAAACGCACAATTTTAAATCGCGAACTTTCTAGCGATCGAAAATACAATTTTAGCCGAAATGGGATGTTACAGCTAGCGCTGACAACTTACTACCCATTTATCAAGTATTTTGATATTAATGTCATCATCATCTTATATTCTAATTAATCAGTTCATGAGATACAAATTACATGATAAAAAATTGAGATCCACCCCGCGACTCGAGTACTACATGCATTTGTCTGCTCTCAACGAGTGCTCCAGTGTATCATCATCACCCCAATATAATCTTCCTTTGATTTTTTCACGAGCTATAAAGTATTGATTAGGAGATTCGAGGGCTCGTATACATATAAAGAGGAGAATTTCTTAGCCAACTATTTGATTGATCATATAGGGGGGTTCCTTCTACGTACGGATCGGTTGCTCAAGACCTTTGGTTTCTACCCAGATCCGTTGGAGTAAAAAAAAAAGGATCACCTATTATGGACTTGTTGAGAATGATCATGATCTAGTTCATGGCCTATTAGAATTAAAAGGAGCTCTGGTGAGATCCTCACTGATAGAAAAAGATTGAAATCAGTTTGATATACTGATGATCGAGTGACATTGCTTCTTCGACCCGTTCCTCTAGTGTTTTTTAAAAAATAATCTAGGGGTCACTCTCCTAGCCGTGCGCTATTATATTATGAAGATGATGAATGCCCTAGAAGGATGGTACAACGGTGACCGCAGCCATTGATATATGGAAAGTCAGGTCAGGTTGAGACCTTCTTGTTCTTGTTCTTGGTCATACCTTGATCTCAAGTCCTCTGCAGATGATGCGTTTCAGCGGATACATTTTGTAGCTCTGCCAATCATGGTTCATTAAATCGTACCGGCGATTCAACCACAAAATACCAGTATCGGAGGCTAACCCGATAGGCGGTATTTAACGATATTAACGGTTGAACTACGGTTCAACCATGATTTTACCGTAAAATACCCTACTACTAACTTTTTCGGTACGGTGTCCGGTACGGTTTCATGGACCATGCTGCCAATACGGCAGTATACTGCCATGAATCGATATACATATAGACGCCTTGTTTGAAGCAGAGAAGCCACACGACCCATGAAACACAGCAGCTACGTAGCTTGGCGGCGACAGCATCACAAATTCATTCGCAACATTAATCATAATTAATTATCAATAATTCAACCCTCCAACTAAATTAATTAAGCCTCCAGCGGCTTCCTACCTAAAGGCCCCGCTGGTAGGGTTGAAACTTGAAAGCAAAGCAGGCAGCAATTATTTAATTCAAAACCAACTATGCATCTATTCAGCAGGAAAAATTAACATCGCCTGTAAATTCAATTTTCTATATCAAATTTTGTTTTTTTAAAAAAACAAGAATTTTGTGAGCTTTTGAACTGTGATTTTATTTTATGAACTTGTGAGCTAATTTTTGTTGTTGTTTCTGTTAAATGGTGAGTAAGTTATTGATCATATGAACTGAAATGAGAAAATATTGTGAATTGTTAATTTATTTCATTCATTATGTAATACAAACGACTAGTTTTATTTTCACGACATCTAAACAAACTAAACGATAAACAAAGATCCTTAAACCAACACATTCTTGAATCTATGGTACTTACGATTATATTTTTTGTATCAATAATTCTCAGGGGGGAATCACAGTACCGCCGCACCGTACCTGCTGCAGCACCACCACACGGTTTTTGGGCAGCCTGGATTAGGTCATCAGTTAAACAAAATGGCTAATATAATAATTATAGCATAATTAGGATCCTTATTAGGAATGACAATTCCGACCTGACCAATTTTACTCGATTTGTTTGACCTGTTTTGGGGCGGGTACGACTCACTCCGTAGGTAGGGTGGGGCGGGCATGGGTACTTTCATACACTCGAACTGTCCTGACTCGTCCCATTCTTGACTCGTACTTACATGAAATCTTAGTTAAATTACTTAATACTATCCTTTTATTACATCATATTTTAACTATAATAAATTGTAAATTAGTGAAAACCTCAATTTCTCCAATAATTTAGCTATATTTATCACAATATAGTTTGTTTTCTTTGACTTATAATGAAATCAATAAATATTTTTGATAATTTTCATATAAACTGCGTACCCATTAGATTAACCTACCCCGACTCACAATCCATAATAAATTAACCGACCTAAACATGACATGCCACAAGGCGAGTATGAGTAATTAAGTATCATGATACGACCTTCCTATCCTTAATCCACTACTTTACAATTCAACCACCTTCTCCTTCTCCTTCTCATCATCTGTATCATTCGGGTGCAATTATTTTGTGGATAATTCTAGCAACACCGACACGGATGGGCTCTCTCCTTCCAACCTAGCTAGCTCAGCCCAAGTTGTCATTCCACCGTCGACATCCTGTTCCAAGTACATTATTGAATTCCCTAAAAACTATTATTATACATTTATACTGCATGCAAATTAAAAGCAAAAAAAAAAAAAAAAGTAATGGGTACTTGTTATTTTAAGGTAAAAGTAAACACCATTGCTTGGAGCTAGCACTACCATTTTAGCTAAACTTGTTTGAAACTATGTATCATCTCTTGATACGCAATTGAGATCAACATCAAACTTAGCTTGTTTATCGACCGATTTTTCACTTGCAGAATGTTACGTTCCACTCCATCATTGCATTTTAAGTGATTTAAACTAGTTAGTTTTTCATACTAATAACGTTCTAATAGATTCATTTCGACAACGTCTTGTTACGCCTTGTAAAAAATATATAATCTTTCACTACATCTAATGTACTTTCGCACTTTCAAATTGTTGCATGATACCCGTTGAAAAACAGAAAACACTATTATACTAGTTTGAACAATTCTACGTAATTAGTAAACTTCGTCATCATTGTGTGCCAAATCCCCCACGGTAAGGTTGTCAGTTGTCACTCTGTTCCGTATTTTATAATCCCAGAAATGGAGAAAAAGAAAAGTATCCTCCTCCTCAGTCCTCACTCCTCAGAGACAGCCAAAAAAAAAAAAAATCCAATCTACGTAGAAATTTCCCGGCAGCCAGTCTCTCTCTATAAATACCCTCTTCCTCCTTCTTTCTCTCTTCATCACCTCGACCTTTTAACTTACTCCCTTAACATTGTTTCGGTTTCCTCTCTCCCTTTCATTCATTTCTTTCTCCACATCAGAAAGACAGCCACGCGCCATGGGAAACTGCTTAGCCCCAAACAAGAAAAGGTCCCAAGTACACGAATTCCAAGAAGAACATGATAGTAAGGTGAATTCCGACAAGACGATGAAAACAGAGGAAACAGGGGATGTTCCGACGACGAACAACGGCGGAACCGACGTCGGGACGAAAGTGAAGATAGTTTTGACGAAAGAGGAGCTCGACTGGCTGATGTACGAGCTCAAGGTGAAAAACAGCGGCGGCGAAGGCGGATCCACGAAGAAGCTTGAGGATGCTCTGGCTGAGATCGAGAGAAACAGAGCACTGAAATCGGCCAGTGTGAACAGCTGCTGGCAGCCTTCTCTGGAGAGCATTAGTGAGTGCCCTGAAGACGTTGGATCCGGGAGATGTTATTAGGATGCAGCATCTAATCGCCATTTTCGATCTGTGATTTATCGATTCATATATTTTTTTTGGCCCCTTTTTCTATGGGTATTTTTTTGTTCTACCTGTTCTCTTGGGAGCGAACCTCTGTTTTCTTATGTCCGTTGGTGACCTGTTTTTCCATGTGGGTTTTGGTGATAAACCCTTTTGAAAAATTTACGATGCATATGATGTATAAAGAAAGATCGGAGTATTTTTTTTATAGAAATTATAAATATTTTTATAGTTCGAACGAGTAGAAATGACATGTTTTCCCCCGATTTGAACATGAAGTTAATCGCAGGTATCATATCCTACAGACATCACTAATGCCATTCTATTGCGAGCGACTTGTTTCATTTGCAGCGTTAAACAAAAACTATCTTGGGCACCATCTCCTTGAAGTTCTAGGGTTAAACCTCGAAATTCTGGTTAAAGACAGGATATCCGAACAAGTCAGTTTATTAATCTCTTGTAGCTCTTTTAGAAATTACGCATTCTATTTGTTGTTAAATATTTAAATGGTTTGTATTCACTGTCATTTATGTTTGCATTAAATGCGAAACTTGTAAAAGATTCGAATTTAGATGAAATTTCATATTTATTTACTCGTATTGTTTGCATAATAGCGATTTGCTTATACAAACTTTGAATTTATTAATTCGCATAAAATTAATTCTCGAATCTGAACTTGGATCATTTGAATGAACTGATTCGGTATTGCAAAACTTCATGGATTCTCAGAAGCCATAAGTGGTCATATTAGGAGAAAGAAAGAGAGGCGAGCCATATTAATATTGCTATGGGTAACCAAGAAAACTCGTAAGCTACCGAGGGCAGGGATAATCGTCCGGGTCTTATTGTGAAAGAGGAAAAAAAAAAAAAAGCCAAATCAGGTTTGGAAAAGGATCATTATTTGTGGGGTCTTTGTAAAAGGAAAACAGAGCCAAGTATTTATTAAGAATTGCAAAGTAAAGCCACCGAATTTGTTGTTAATGGTTACTAAGATGGTGTCCACTTGTTTTATGATGCGAAAATGTTTTAGAGAGTCTCATTCGTCAATTTCTTATGGTTGTTTTTTTTTCAAGTTTAATAAATGTTTCTGTCTCCTGAAATTCAAGCGAACTTGGAATTCACTTGGTATGCAAAAGAAGAAGAAAAATGTTTCCTCTCTGAAAAGGCGATTAAGAAAATACATGTGGTTGGAATAATTTGTCTTCAGTTTAAGGTTTATAATTTACTATTTTCGATGATAGATAGTACTATATATTTACCAACACAAATCGCATTATAAAATCGTTCGTCGTCATTCAAATCGCTATAATACAACTTATTTTGTAACCATCACTGCTCAGTGTTTATACATCCTTTGCACTCATCATGCAAATGCGCGCATCATTCACAACCAAATTGTCTCCTTTTAGACCTCATTTGTCAAACTCACAATTAATAAGTAATAAGTGAGCTCAGAAGATGGCCTATGTGGTGGATATGTGCATTCAATTTCTTTTTGATAGAGCTGTGCATTCATTTTGTGACTCCGTTTTCAACTGGCTTTAATTCATGCAAGTAGACTATATACTATCTATCCATCTACCGATATTATTAACATTTATTTTACATTTTATTACAACTCATATTATTAATACTAAAATAATATTGGATGAATAACTTCCTTCCAAGCGAAGCGAAAATAACTACAATGATTTCACTTACATAGTCAAAACGCATGTTACATACAGCTACTTCGAGCCACCCGCATCAAACAATAACGGTACAAGTCGGACGTCTTTTGACATCAAACGAACAGGTTCGATCGAAACAAAAAAAAATTTGGCAGGTCAATTTTGTTGTGGATTATTTAGTCTCCACAAATCATACAAACATATTTCTGATTCACCTCGAGTGTTGATTATGCGTGCATCAAATGGTTTTCTAAGAAAAAGGAGTGGGTTGACTGGGCTACTTGATGGATGCATTAATTTGGTGTCTCCATTATTGCAACAAAGAAGAAAGTAGTTCACCCTCCGAAGTTTTACACAATGATTAATGAGACGGTCTATCATTGCGCAATTGATAGACTCATTCGGGCCTGCTTCTTTTTCTATCTTGGGCTTTTCAATTTTCATGAATGGGCCGCGGGCCGCTGGGTAGCTCGAGCAGGGGAAGGACGAAGCGGAAGAGTATCAGTGAATAAACTGATACGTCACCGTCAGGTGCGACCGGGAATTCTTTATTATTATTTTCCTCTTCTTTTGGTACGAAACACGACCGGGAATTGTCTTGCAGCTTCCATTTGTTCCGGCGGAAAGAAAAGGAAAGGGTCAGCGGAGAAAGAACGAAAGAAAGAAGAAGGAAGAAAAACAATGGCAGGAGTAGCACAGGCGTTGAAGCGAATCCCTAGCATCAAGTTCCCCCAGCGGCGCCCCAATCCTTCCACAGGTAAGAACCAATCTCCGATTCCTTCAGCGGAAAGATTTTTGAACGTTCTGAGTTATTGGCAATGTCTCTCGGATCTTTTTCTCGGTACGGCTCAGAGCGACGCTCGAATTTCAGTTTCCGGATACGAGTTCGACGATGGTTGAGAACCTTAGTTGAGATGTAATGAACATGTATTCATTAGAATGTGAATGGAGTCGTAATTTTGAAGGCTTAGCTTCGGTTGTTGGCTTGGGGAATACGCTGCTTGGGGTTTGCTCGGATTGATTGTTGCGTAGTGCTGTGCTTGGCTTCTGTGAAAATTAAGGAACTTTTTTCCTTTATTGTCTGGGGGAGCTGGATCGTTTTAGCAAGCTTCTGGTTTTAGTTTTGATGCGTTTCTTGGTGTGAAGGATAGGTCTGGATCTGCGTTCTATTGTGGTAAAGATATTGGGGATGTCTTGTTGAACGAGAAGTTTAAGAAACTGTGTTAATTGATGAGGATTCTTATCTTGAATGGTTCAAGGATGGATGATGTTTGATACTCGATATGCAGGTGTGGATATTAGAAGTAGACAATGTATTAGGAGATGCTATGATTTCATTGTTTGTAAGGCTTTGGACTGTCAATTGTTCTAGGTATTTTAGCAAGAGAAGGTAAACTATGTCTAGTGCGAGTTTGGCAAAACCGTGATGTATGCGTCCTTTTGAGGCAAATGCTTTATGTCAAGTTTTGAATTGTGATTCGACTAGCTATGGAAAAGGGTGAATATAAGGGTAGAAGCTGGAATTGGTATGTCACTGCTCACCACCTTTGTGAATTTAGCTGACAAATTTACTTCCACAGGTTCTGTTTCCAAGACAGAAGGAGCTTCCGCTGCTGGAAATGCTATTTCAAACTTCTTCTCCAGTGTTAAGGCTTCAAAATCTCTTGGAGGTCAAGCTTCTCTTCAGCCCAAACGAACGCCAGTTTCTCGTGATGAGATTGAGACAATCTTGGTAGGTTCAGAGCTTGTATGCTTACTGTTTGCCTGTGATTTTGCTTATTTTCTCATTATTATGTCATGCTTCAATGTTGTCATGCATACATCGTCACTCGCCTTAGGAGTAATGCTGGATGACAATATCTTCTTACTGGCTAAATGGCACAGACTATACCTAGTGGTTTCAAAATGGAGTTGTCAGCTAATTTCATAGCTAAAAAAGATCAGGCTTTTAACTTGTGGTACAAAGTGATTTCCACACTAGGCCCTTTTTCAATTATAATGGGACTTCATTATTGCTCTCGAGATCGTTTCTAAGCCAGTGATAGCTCTAAATTTATTTTTCTGCTATAAACTAGGAGTGTTGAGTTTTGGGTCGTTACGTGAGGGAAAAAATGACCACAAACGGTTTACTTTAGCTTGAGCATCTGTTGAACAGATTTGTTGAGTACACTAATGATCTCTATTTTCACGTTTACTTGGCAGTTGGGCGGCTGCATCTGATCATCTGGTTGAAGTTCAAAACGCGATGGTGCGTCTTTTCTAATTGAATGTCCTTGGAACATCTAAAGTTCATATACTGATTTTCTGTCAAAGCCGAGAGCACAATTTCCAAACTGGATCTTTTTTCATACTACAACAGAGGGGAGAAACTAAAAAGTTTGCTTGCTTGTATTAATTTTTCCATCTGTGCCTGATACTGCAAGATCTTAACAAAAATCAAACTCATTATTACTGCCTAGTCTGCACAAATCAGGAAAAGCATACATATGAACATACTGCATACATATATTAGACACAACAAAAAGACTAAACAGATCATGTATCTTTCTGAGCTGTAGTTTCTAGGACAACCGATCGAGGATTTTTCCCTGGGGGACCCTTCTCCCTGCGCTCGAGTTCTTCGAGCCTGAAAGTGATCAACCGATCCCAGACCCCTCCTTCTAGAAGAACCCCAGCCTTCCCATCTGTAATCCTCTGTACAATGCCACAGTACATGTAGTATGGACTGTTGGTGTTCTTCACAAGAGCAATCATGCCAGGCATTAGCAGTGGCAACTCGGGCGCTCTAGGCTTCTTTCCAGCTGTAGTAATCCCTGCTAGAGCTCCCGAATCAGTCTTCTTAGGCGGAGGGTTTTCCTCGATGAACTTCTGCAGCCCCTTCTCCCCACCAGGATATCCACCAGTTAGTCCCATCATTTCCTTGTCAAACCCATCTTCTGGGACACCTTCCGGCAACTCGCTCCCGGAACTTCCTTCTTCATCTGGATCCGAGACAATCGGCTCGACGCTCCTCTTGAGTTCTTTCTCCAGGCCTTCCTCCCCATTGCATAGCCCCCTCCCTCCCAGGAGCTGGGAGAGGTCGAATTTGGCGCTTGTTACCTGCTTGAGCCTCGAATCCTTGGGAATCGAGGAGTAGGATGGCTTGTGACGCTTGGTGTTGAGGTTCTTTTGCCCTAGGAAGTTGGATCTTAGGAGGGCACCTTGGTGAAGGGGTTGGAGGGTGATGGAAGAAGAAGAGGCCGCCATGGGTTTTCAGAAGTATACCAGGTTTGGGGAAATTGAATGAAAGGAAGTGGCTTCAAATGCTGGCCACAAATTTGGGACTCGTGGGAGGGATAGTACTCTGTTATATTCCTGTTCTTTTGCCATCTCATCTCTCTATCATTTTCCTTCTTCTCTGTAGGCACAATTTGACGTTTCTGTTTGTTACATGTGGGTTCCACTGAAAGATGTCCATCAAATGTTTAGAAATAGCAATTTTATGTATCAAATTGGAGGCTTTAATGAACTTTACAAGGGTCAGAGTGAAATTTGAATCGTGGATTAATTACAGGTTTGGCAATGTGGCTGATTGATACATCTATACTGCTGATTGATCTAATGTGGTCAAATTGGCGACTTGTGATAAATATCATTCGAGTTTGTACGATAATACATACTGCTATGATGTCAGTTAAATAGATTCCCGCATGTACTTCAGTCCGATGAGCAATCCTATGGTTGTGCTACAATCACGGCGAATGAATATGTACTTCTAAAAGATTCTTTATATTGTGTCCGATTACAAATTTAGTTTGATACACATGTCCAGCAATGAGAAAAATATCTTTTATGTTCATTTCTTCTATCTAAAGAAGCGTCGGTGGTGACGCATGTTATCTTACCACTTCTAAATTGAATAGGTATACGACTGATTACGTCTTATTGGTGTTTAGTGTTTTACAATGTAACAAGTACACGTATGGGAAATTGGGAATATATGATGTCTGCATGTGACTGGGCCAGAAGCCCATTATTCTCTTGGGCCCAACGAACACACTTATTTATTTTAATCGGATTCTATTCTACCATATGCAGTCTCATTGTATTAAATTACGGTTTACGAACTCAACTTTTCATTTTCCCAGAAAACCAAAATACCGAACCACTGTCCTGCGAGCCAAAAGTATCGGAAAACAAAACCTCCATAGCCGCACCACGGGAAAGTTCCCCTTGCTCCTCTGTTTCATGTTACCAACGCCAACGCCAACGCATAAAGGTTTTCTTTCTGCGGTAGCATATTCGGTAAGTAAAGTAACCCACCCAGTTCGTTTTCCTTCCTGCTTCTTTTCTCCAATTATTCCCTTATGAATTGATCCGTTTCCCATAGCTTGCTTGTCTGCTGAATGTTATTCAAGTTGCAAAATTTCTGGATAAAGTTTTTTATTAGATTCGTGGACTTGAGAGATGTTGTACGGACGTTTAATGGGTCTTGGGTTGTTGTAAGCTCGGAGATTGTGCAGCAGCTTAATCCATTTGTGTGACCTGGATTTCGGGATTTGGGACTCGCCGGATTTGGGATTCGCCGGAGTTCTCTCTCTGTGAGGATTGGGGACTGTAGGGTGTAGCTGTGATGGGTAAGCTGCTGTTGGGAATTTGCTTGCTGGTTGCTGGAGAGCTGTTGTTTCTTCGAAACGTTTTCTGATTTTGTTGGGATTCAGTTCTGTTGATTGAAGTGACCTTTTGGTTGGGGATTGAGCTTTTGGGTACATTTCTATTCCGCCTTTGGAATTTGCCCTAAGAAGATTGAATCTGTAGACATAATGGATTTCTTAAACTCGATCCCTTTGTCTACTACTACTTGTATGTATACAACCATAGCAATAGGAGGAGTAAGGAATAGAATCTTCTGCTGAATATGCTAAAGCTTGGACTTTATATCAGACAGCACATTGAGCAGCTATAGAATTCTTTTTGTCTGGGAGGGATTGCAATTTTGACCCTGAGTGCTTGACCTATCAATAGTGTATCTCCATAGTACTGATGATCCTTCTCTTTCGTGTTTCTTCAAAAGTGTAGCTTCATGGATGATCGTCGTGGAAAGCTGAATATCATACCGGATCACTTTCAAGTCTCAACTTCCGGTGAGGACACTCCACAAGCAGAAACTAATCCCGTTTCCCAGCCAAGAGTTGATAATTTGGCTAGGTACTATACTTCATGCCTAGTTAAATGCGCGGTAGAGAAAGACCAACTTTGTTCTCATGAGCAAATAGTTGATTTTGGCTTCAGCTTCTTCTTTTTGTTTAGGATAGGCCCCAAAGTCTTTCCTGGTCGCCGAGAAAATTGAAGACTGCTGCATCTATGTTGAGAATGTTCAGTCTACGTGGCCTACCTTGGACCCCTGATGGCCAGCAAAAGGTTCAGGTAACTGTTGCAGAGTTGGAATCACTTCGCTCGGAGCTCGTCGAGGTAGAAGAAAGGGAAGCTTACTTAAAAGCTCAGTAAGAAACTTAAATCCCTTAGCTTTATAGTTCGTGATTTCGCTTTTTTGTTCCAACAGAATGCATTCCTAGTATTTTATGGATAATATTGTTATGTTTTTTTTTTTTTTTGAACAGGTTGGAACATGTTGATGAAATTTTGCGCACAGCTCGCCTCTCAGGCTATTTATACATTAGATCTGTATGAACTGCTCCTGTTCTTTGTTTCTTGTTTAAATGCTGCAATTCTCTATGCTTGATGTCATTTATAAGCCTATAACATTCCTCCATGCATCTTTTCTTGTTTATCAATACAGAGATGGGCAGCTTTACCTGGTGAGCCTCCTGTACTTGATGATATTGATATCGACGATTGGCTTCCTCGATTTGTTGTCCTTCATGGACAGTGTTTATTCTTCTATTTGTTGAGCACAGGTAAATAAGTTATACTTGCTAGTTCTTTAGTAAATGTAATATTTTCTCCGATTTGTGATAATCATATTCTTACTTGTAAAAACTAGGAAGTTTTTTCTTTTTGCAGATTTGAGTCCTCAAGATTCAACTCTACTCGCCGATGTTGTTGAAGTGGGTTCTCTACCGGAAGTTAGACGAGAAGATGATGAGATAAGATATTCCTTCTATGTTTTGACTCGTCAGGGCCTTCGGTTCGAGTGTTCCAGTGCTTCTAAATTACAGGTGTGTTACTACTGACTCTTGCTCATTCGCTGCCATCCCTACAGTTGAGGCTGATTATTTTCACAATACATGAAACTTTAGTCGCAATTGTGCTGTACTTGATCCATTCCAAATGTGCTCATTTTCCTCAGGCGGACACATGGTTAGAGGCACTAAAAACTGACTGCAAATATGGCTGTGGTGGTACAGAGGCTGTAAACGACTCTTCTGAAACCAAGAATCATACTGAAACTGACTGAACATTGAACTTTGCATAGGCTTATTCAATTGTACATCTTTACTTCAGCTGATATGTGATTGGAGCTTGTGGTTCCTCGCACTCAGCTTCCTTTTGTTCATGTACATAGATTGACACACTCATGTAACCCGGAATTCATTATGTACTACTTTCCAGTTCTTGCTAGTTCATCCAGGAGTTCAGTAATTCATTGTGCACCTTTCTCAGACCTACGGAGATGGTATTTCACTGCTTTATAACTAAGACTCTGAATTCAGAAGAACTATGCTTTATCGCAAAAAAAAATTGAGCAGATTTTCTGCTGTTTCATGTTTGATTGATAGGCAACAAGAGCAAACAACAGCTTGGTCAAGTTTCTGCACACACAGAGTAAATAACAGTTGGGTATTCCCCTTCCTCTGAAAACGCAAATTAGAAAGCCAAAGAGGACACAGAACTACTTGAACAAACCAAAGTTCATCATCAGACCCTAAACTACTACTACCACTCAAAAGGACATCTAAATCAGAGACACATAAGACCATGGACAACAGTTACATTGAACACGAGAACATGATCCATCTTCAGCAGCTCGAATGTGCATTCATCTCCAAGCTCCAGAGAATTCTCCTCGGCGAACTTATTCCAACTAGCGCTGAACTTTGTGTACCTCCATTTTCCTCCTCGCCTGTTTAGCTTCACTTCCCACTTCTTGCCCCCAAGCTTGAGTATCACCCAATCAACCCTCTCGCTAATGAACAAACAACAACAGGAGGATCAAAACATGTCAAACACCAATTTCATAATTAGTATTTAGTAACGACTTTGGCACTTGAAACCTGAACAAAAGCCTACCGCTTGGTAGAGCCTGAGGTGAGTTGGAGACATGGAAGCCGCAAAAAGATGGATGCCTAGATGCTGATGGCTGCTTCATCACGGTCTTCTCTGTTCCCTTCTTCATTGTACCATTTCTCACAGGAAAAGCATAATAAATGTTTCTACTTTCTTGTTTCTTGCCATGGGCACAACAATAAGGAAACTGGAAGATGTTGCTGATGAAGGAAAGACCATATGCAGATGGATTTCTCTACATTTTTAACCAGTAAACCATCCAAGGACTGCAACTTGCAATTGGTCCCTGAAATTAACTTCTTTGCAAGGTAAGATTTAACTGGAACCTGCTAATGCAATCAGCAACATCTTCATAAAAAATTAGGCTATTGATTTTTATTGCTAACCAAAGCACGAAAACTGCTGCAACTGTTCCATTGACAGCATAGACACAGCCACAAGCACAGCACAAGATCTAAGAATCTAAAGGTTTAAGCGCGATTCAACTGTGTTAAACGAACATCGCAACAGAAGGTGTATCTGACGAAATTCACAAGGCGGATGATGAACCATTCTTCTTCTTTGTCGTCCCGTAGTAACTAACGTACCATCTTACAAACTTCTTAAGCCCCGACTCCAGCCCTGTAGCTGGCTTGTACCCGAGCTCCCTCTGAGCCAAACTGATATTCGCATGTGTGAACTCCACATCTCCATTCCTCGGTAGCGGCTGAGCTTTCTTCTTCGCCTTAACTTTCAGAAGCTTCTCCAATATGCTCACCATCTTGGTCATTGGAACAGGGGAAGTATTCCCCAAGTTGTAGATCCTCAATTGAGCTGGACCCTTCTTCTTCCCTCCACTCCCAGTGCTTTTCTTCGCAGTATCCAACGCGCCCAAGCAGCCTTTAACAATGTCATCAATGTAGGTGAAATCTCTGGCCACACTTCTCCCATCGGCAGTTTCAAACACACTGATCTCTTTCCCTTTCAGGATGTCCTTAGTGAAGAAGAAGTAAGCCATGTCTGGCCTTCCCCACGGACCATAAACAGTGAAGAATCGCAGCCCAGTAATGGAAAGGCCATGGATGTGGTTATAAGTATGAGCAATTTCCTCGCCGGCTTTCTTTGTAGCGGCGTAGAGGCTCGCCGGCCGATCAGTCCTGTCCTTCTCAGAGAAGGGGACTTTGGAATTCAAGCCGTAGACCGAGCTGGAAGAAGCCCAGACGATCGCCGGCTGAGGGTTTGCCGATTTGCAGACCTCGAGCAAATTCACAAACCCTGCGATGTTGCTGTGGACATAAGATTTAGGGTTTTGCATCGCGTACCGTACGCCGGCCTGGGCGGCCAGATGCATGACGTGGGTGAAATAGACGACGTCGAAGAGCCTGCGGAGCAAATCGGCATCGTTGATGTCGCCTTCCACGACGAAGATTCCGGCCCGATCGAGGACATTGCGACGGGCGTGCTTGAGATTGACGTCGTAGTAGTGGTTGAAGTTGTCGAGTCCGAGGACGCCATCGCCGCGGCGCTTGAGGGCGATCGAGACGTGGGTGCCGACGAATCCGGCGGCGCCGGTGACCAGGACGGTGAAGCAGACGGCGGATTCGGGGCGGGTGGATTTGAGGACCTTCTTCTCCCATAGGCGGCCGCCGGGGAGATCGGCGCTGAGCTGGCGGCGCGGGGAGGAGGAGGAAGGAGGGGAGAGGAGGAAGAAGAAGAAGAAGAGGACGAGGAAGAGGAAAGAGTAGAAGGTGAGCTTCGAGATGTTGGATTGTAGCCGGAGGGAGCGGTGGTGGTGGTGGTGGAGGTACGGCGGAGCTTTGTCCGGTTTGAACTTTCCCGGCGTCGAGGGTGGACTGTTGTCGAGAAGGGATGAAGCCATCGTCGGAAAAGTGAGGGAGAATCGGTGAAGCCCGGTTAGGATGTTGCGGTGGCAATGGCGGTTGTTAGAGCCAGCCGCCGGTGAAGAAAAAGGATGATGCAGGCAATGCGGTAGGAATTCTGTTTCTGTGGGCAGAAAATCTGTTGCACCAACTTTTCAAGACAGGGAAGTAGAAAAGGGGGGGGGGTTTTGAACTCATTTGTAATTTGGATTAAGTTGGGATGGTTTAGGATTAGGGTGGCAACTAGAATTCTAGTAGTCATCGTGGCTACTATAGTATTCCCGTTTATTTTTCGTTTACTCTTTTTTAATTTAATGATTAAGATGGTTTGAAGGTAATTTTGAAAAAGGAAAATCATTCTATATATTCCATTCAAAATCCTAATTTTCCTTCCTTATAACAAAACCCTACTTCTACCATCCATTCCCTCCTTCGAAAATTGTCGCAGCAGCAAGCTTTGCTGACTGTCGAGTCGCGACGCATCAACCTCAATGTCCTATAAACCCGACCATCCGCCGTTGCCCAACCGTGGATAAGGCGACCATGTTCCACATCATCGTTCGAGAGATAGAGAGCGCCATGGATTATATGTATATTCGTACATGGAAGGTAAGGAGAGCGCGAAGCAAGTAGAGGCGGAAGGCATAACCAAAAATCAAGAAGGAAAACGAGAAACCAATGGAATTGATTTGAAAATGTATTGATCCCTGTCGCTCTCGTTCGACATCATCATTCAGCACCTTTCACCAACCCGTCGTCGTTGTTCGTTCTATCCGTTCTAATGTTATTGATTCATTTATGAAATTATATTGTTTTGCTCTCATAGTAATGGTGGTATTGGTTGATTTTGGTATTGGTTTGACTCTTGTAATTGTATAGATTTATTTGTATTGGTAGTTTTCGTGTAATGATATTGTTTTTTTCATAATTGTGATTTATTTATTTCTACAATGGTATTACTGCTTTTCAAAATGGTAGTGGTTGGCTAATGGATTGGTATTGATTTCTTTTTTTATATTTGCAGTGGTATTATTTCGACTTAACTAATACAATGAGAAAATTGAGAAAAAGAAGAAAGAGAGATATGGGGCGGAGATTGTTGAAGTGAGAAAAAAATAGAGAAAATTAAAATTAATATATTTTGGTAACTTTCTAAAATGTAATTTATTAAAAAAAAGATAGATTTATGAATGAACAATAGAATACACACCTTAATAGATTTCACAATCTACTAAAACAAAAATGTTTTCACAATCGTCACTCAACTAATTATATACTCTTAACAATCTCCCACTTCAACTAACAAAATAAACCCCTCAAAATCTAATGCATCACGATTGATATTTCAATTAAGCGGTTCACTTATGTTGTGGTCAAGAGGAAAAGACCAAATTTCATTCAAAATACGATACATCCTTTTTATCATTTAGTAAAAGATGATTGTCCTAAAACATAGAGCTCATAGAGCTCCTGTATCTGAAATCGAAACGAAGATGACAAATCAAAATTATTTCTAACACCAGGTACTTATGACAATATACCCTTAATTATATAGCAAGAGTTGCATCTCAATACTTCATAGAAATGAATACCTAAACACATTCAATTATGAACCATACATACTCAATTTATCTTGTTTTTCTAATAAAATAACAAAAGAATCCATTTACCAGAATAAATTGTATTGAAACTTTTTTTTTTTTGGTAGGAATTGTATTGAAACTTTTCCATATATATGTAGTCTTGCATCTTCAAAATTGAAAAAACAAATAAAATTAAAAAAAATAACAACTTAGAAGATTGATAATCTATAATCTTATTATTATCAAATGAGATGGTAGGTCCAAAACTCCAAATTATGAACTTAAGAGATTAGAGAAGGTGATTGATCATTTTTTTTTTATGGTTAAGGTGATTAATCATTGATGCACACATCCTTAACAATAAAGATCTCCATAATTTTTTTTTAATCGTAAGATATTTCCATGATTTGTCAATCATAACCGATCCCAGAAAGATTAACCCTAAACAACGAAGACGACGGGACACGTGTAAGAAGAATAACACTGTTACGCGAGTGTGAACTGATCAACTGAAACTAACTCACTCACAGAACCGTTATTTATGGAGGGGATTTTTTTTAATTACGAACTCCAGTTCCGGGTTAGCCACAAACACTCCGTTCAATTTCCCTTTTCGCCAATATATTCGCATTTATATACCTAAACCTCTTTCACACACTCCCTGTTTGCTCCCCTCTCCTGCCTCTCTCCTCCATTGTTGTCCCTCCCAGAGCTCCGATCAAAGAAGAGGAAAATGAGCTCTCAGATTTTCAGATCCGCTTCCAGGGCCGCCAGGTCCCTTCTCTCCTTCGCTTCAAAGAACTCTCGCTTTTACTCCGGTCAGTTCCCTCATTTTGCTCTCCGCAATCTGTCGGTGCTTACAATTGAACCGGATTTATGTGTGTTGATTTATGGAGTCTTTTATCTTTTGAGTCGTTGATCGGCGGTCATCGTCGCTTTCCCCCCCCCCCCCCCCCCCCCCCCCCCCCCCCTTTTTGGTTGTTGTTCGGAATTTCTGTTGTGGTTTTGGATTGGTGACGATTTCTGACGGCGATGAGGCGTTTTGATGGATGTAGAGGGGCGAGCTGCAGGAGCTGCCGCGGCGGTTTCGTTGAGCGGAAAGCTGCCGATCGTCGTTTCGGCATATGGAAGGACTGGTTCTGCAAATGCTCCGCAGTGGATTTCTGGCGCACTTGCGATTCCCATGGCAGGTTAGGTTCCTTTCTGATCTGGTATACGTAATGTTTGTGGCATTTCGTTCGATTTTCGATCCGGATCCACTACAGGTTCAGTGCCGTTCTGTGATTTATTTTTTTCAATTGTGAACTGTAATGGAGGTCTTCTTGCACTGTGGTCGTAGAATAGGTAGATTTTATGAATGAACATCGCAATGTGAGTTGAGGTTAGTTAGAGAAGGGAGAGGAGCAATCTCCTTGCCCATCCATTGTTCAAGCCGTGGCAATTGTTGAAACCTTTAGTTCTGGGCTGCATTTCTATCACTGATATGTGGATTGTTGTTTGTCTGTCAAAATTATGCGCTCAGTTGTTTGTTCATGAGTAGCATCTAAGTATAATGTCTCTGGTTTTGGATTACGATCTATCGATTCGATATTTATGTGGAAACTCCTCTGGTTTTGTATGTGCAGCTTACATGCTCCAAGAACAGGAGGCCCGTGCTGCAGAGGTAATCAAAGTGGCTCAAGTTCTCTACCATGTTCTTTTCATCTCTTCTTATTGACTTGTGAACGATGGATGTCGATTTTGCTTTTCAGCTGGAGCGTACCTTCATTGCTATCAAGCCTGATGGGGTGCAGAGAGGACTGGTACGATAAGCATTGCATTTTCTTTCACTCTTGTCATTTCTACCTTTCCTCGCTAGTACGACGCCAGAATTTCCTGCCATTTGTCTGTGTATTCATACGTTTACTTTGGAATGTGTTTTTATCTGTGTCCAGATTTCAGAAATCATTTCCAGATTCGAGCGCAAAGGTTTCAAGCTTGTGGCAGTCAAGATAGTGGTTCCTTCAAAGGGCTTTGCTCAAAAGCACTATCATGACCTGAAAGAGAGGCCATTCTTCAACGGCCTTTGCGACTTCCTGAGCTCTGGTCCTGTTTTGGCCATGGTATGAGAAGAACCACCCACCTTCACCATGTCTAGTATGTTATGTGTATAACGTAGAGTCGACTAAAGGCCATTTAACTTCTGCAGGTGTGGGAAGGAGAAGGTGTGATCAAGTATGGCAGGAAGCTCATTGGAGCCACAGATCCTCAGAAATCTGAACCCGGAACTATTCGAGGTGACCTGGCTGTTGTTGTTGGAAGGTATGCATTTCAATCTCTTCCTCTTGTCACATGTCACTTCATCACATGATTCCTTTTATCTCATTTACGTCCTCCATTGCCGTTTGGCAGAAACATCATTCATGGAAGTGATGGCCCGGAAACCGCAAAGGACGAGATCAAGTTGTGGTTCAAGCCTGAAGAACTGGTTAACTACACGAGCAATGCCGAGAAGTGGATCTACGGAAACAATTGATGACGACGATGATCATTTCCACCCCTTTCTATTGAATTTTCTTTCTCCAGCTTTCTTCCAGGGAGATTAGAAGATGCCACACTAGATTGTGGTTAGAAGCAGAGGATTTGCTAGAATAAAAAACTGTTACTTCAGCCTTTAGGATCAATAGTTTGTTTTTTAATCATATGCGGTTTGAATACTTCCCTTGAGAGTTAAGCATTCAGGAATAAGAATCTGAATCCGTCATCAATTGTTATGTTCTTCATACCCTCTACTTTGCCTTATATTTTGTAGATCACCCTGTTGGTAATTGGTTTTTGGTTAATCGATAACGAAACCGACAAGGACAATATAGATTAAATCGATAACGAATAAAAAGTTTGGTTAAATTAATAACGAATGGAAGGTTCAGTTTCATTGGCTGATATTTGGATTTCGGTTAATCGATAACTGAACTGACAATGACGATTATCGGTTAAATTGATAACTTATTGGTTTGGTTTCCTAATTTTAACAGATGGAATAAGCGGTAAACCGTAAACCTAACAAACGCAGCAAAACTCCCGGCCTGGCCTGCTATATATACGCAGTTACACGCGCGCGTGTCTCCCCCATCCTCTATCAACTCGTCCATTTGGTCGCTTCTCGCCGAAGAATCGTTGTTTTGCTACTGCGAAGAAGGAAGCATTGGAAGTGCTCTCGTGCTTTGGAGCTGCTTCACGGAGCGCTTAGCCCCAACCCTAACCCTAAACTCCGAGTCAAATTCCTCCCGTCGGTCTCCCGCTTTCTCTCTCGCAACCGTCCTTCGGTTTAGCCTCCCTCGCGAAACTGGTACGTTCTGGCTAATTTGATTCTATGCTTTGCGTTTGTGGCCTTCCCGACTGGTTTCGTGTGGCGAATGTCCGTCCGTTTGGTTGAATCGTTCGTCGTGTGATGGTCAGTGTAGTGTCGTCTCTGGTTCGTAACCCTAATCCTATTAGCTTTTAGGACGAGAAGGGAATCTGTTGCTTTTTGGGGGGGTTTGCCGTGGACGAATTAAGTGTAAGTAGATTGTTTTCTTGAGTTCTTGGAGCTCTCCGGCTGCGGAAGTTGTTTGTTTATGCTATATTGAAGAGCTGGTTCCTCGAGTAGATGCCAATGCGGTGATGGGCATGGCTTTAGTCATTGCTGATTGTTGATTGATATATTCGATAATTATTCAGCTTGTAAGTCTACTAGGGTTTGTTGTGCTTATGGCTGTGGATTGGGATTTTAGAACTGAATCTCATTCCTGAAACAATCACAGGGAGTTATAGTAAGTAGACATGGTCGGTTCTGATTCAAGGGTGGTTAGCTTTTCTGGCTTTGCATGTGTCCTTCTTGCTCTTTAGGACTGGAAACCTGGCACTTCCTTGTGGATCTGTTTCTATGTGTTATTTCCAAGTATTGGAAGCTCCAATGGTTACATAGTATGCTAGTTTCTATACGTGACTGGGTTTTGTATCCCTTTTTACCCCAGATGGCGACCAAACCACTCACCCATGAAGAGATCGCCAATACAGAGAAGAAACTGGACATGCCCTTAGGTATGTCAATCTTGAATTAGCCATTGGATTGAGTTTCAGTTGTAAAGTTATAAATTGCTCATGACCATGACCTGTTCTTGTTGTTCTGTATTAGATGACATCATTAAAATGTCGAAGACTTCTACTGCAAAGCCAAACAAGCAACGCAGGGCTCCGGTAAGAAACTCAGTTTATGACAAACTGTCCTTCGTGTTTGGTCCTATGAGATTGCTGTTGGATTTGCTAACGTGACAACTATTGTCTGTCTGTAGAACAAAAACCAGAGGATGTTTAACAATTCTGCTCAAGAAAAAGCCTTGAAGGTGCAGAAATATATGGCCTCTAGGCCGTTTGTTCGACAGGTATTCATCATCTGTAACAATTCTATGAGCTCGTCCTGTGTCCTGCATTATCTTATGTTAATCAGTGGGTTGCATTTATTCAAACTTGGTGATCAGGGGGCTTTAGCTCAGAGGAGGTCAAATTTCCAGGGTAACCATTTTCCTATAGCAAAAGATATTGCACAAAAGGCTGCAGTTGCTCCCCTTCGTAATAGACCGTTCGAGCGTAATTTGATGTCCAATCCAAACAAAGCAAGGTATTCTTTAGCTCTTATCTCAGGATTCTGCAGTCGCGCTACCAGCTATGAACGCTATGTAATGGTCTAGAAATTTATATTTAATATCATCTATTCACACTCTCATCGCTGAATCATGGACTTATTTCAGGTAATTCAATTATCTGTGGCATGTGGTATTCAGGTTAAATGTTGGATACCGCCAAGTAGTATTGTGATACTTCCGTTCATGATTGGTCATGTTAAAGTGGCAGTATTGGGTTTGTGCTAGTATTGATGATTTTACGCCAGCATCACCCACAATGGATTGCCTAATTGGTTGGTGTTAAGCATTGGTTTTGGATTGTGTTCCCCATGACCTGGGTAGTTAGTGGAGCAAGTGGATCTATTTTAGTAGTGATGTTTTGGTTGAAGGAAACAAGTTATGAAGGCAAACTACTTTTACCTAGAGTCTCTTTGGCTGTTTGTTGGTTACGGAAGTGTTGCATGTGATGCTGAAGAGAGTTTACATGGAAGTAATCTGTCTCAACTGCACAGATTAATGATAAGATCAAAGTTTCTGATTGGTACTTCATCTCCAATAACTGCCTATTGGAAGAGTTGAAGGGGTAGATGTGGTTTCTCATCGGGACACATCTTCAACCCATTTTCACTACTATTTGGTCAGCCTGGTGGTCTAAAACATGTCAACCTCTATGTTTACGGTTGCATAGTTTTTCACCTTGTGGCAAGATCTTCAGATTTTCCTTTGGTCATCATCTGAGATTGGTCACAATGCTGCATTCGTTCTTCCCATCTGCTCTTATTCACCCTAGAGTTAAGGGTCACCTGAATTCAATGGGAACAAAATGTGGTTCAGCCTGAATAAGTTTTTTAAATGGCACCAACAAAAATGAAGTCCAACTCCTTCCATTCACTTCAGTACTTGTGCATGTTGGTCAGAATGATTCTTCCAAAGATCCTTCTCATGCGAGTCAGCTCTGATGGCTCAAATCCCGATTGGCATTGTTGGGGTTTAGTTGTGGTGAAGGTCTTCTATGTAGTGACAGATATTGGTTGGTTAAAGGGAGATTGTTTAAGTTTCATTTCACGACAGATTATTGGTTGTGGGGAGTTCTGGTTTGTGTCTCTACTCTGGTTGTTGTGAAGTTTGAGCATGTTATTTGGTGGGAGGTTCTGTGTAGGGTGCACTTGCCAGGAAAAGCTTCTCTGATTCTGGGGGCGCTTGCTTCTCAAGCTTTGAGATATGTTCATGAACTCCTGCTAGGCACAGTACTTCAATATGTTTTTGGGATCACTACTCTATGGAAGTTTTTTCGGGCATGTTATTTCAACAAGGCCTCCAAATTTGAGTCTCGAGTTGGGATTATAAATCTATTTTTGAAATTGAAAAGATCGGCAAATCTGCGACCTGGGGCTTCATTTTAAATTTGTGTTGAAAAAGGTTGTATTTGGATTCATTTGGATATATGTAAGTCACCTGAGTAAGACTTGGGCCTCATTATTGCGAGAGCTTCTCCAGTGCCTGGTTATGTGGCAGTTGACATCTGTATTTGTTCTTGGAGAAGAAGCTTGGTGTTCCTGTAGGTATTTGTCTTTCTGGTATCCATCTTCATCCTGGAGTCAATTCTTTCTTTGTAATGTTGTGCATGCAGGGAGGGGTCTTTCATGGTAAGGAGGGGTGAAAATGGTGCTTTCACTGCAAAGGTACTGTCTCAAGTAATTTTTTTTTTTTTGTGTGTCTCCCTGTTGAACTACTCCTAGACGAATGTTTTGCTAAAGCAGTGCTGAAACCAATAATCAGAGAAAATAAAGTAACCATGAACATGGTATTGACTTTGCGAGTTTTGTCTGTGCTCTTTTGCCAGCCACCTCAAAGCCAACAGCAGTATGGGAATGGAGGCATGAAGCAGAGGCCACAGACTCTGGATGCTATGTTTGCTAATATGAAGGAGCAAAGGATGAGGGCCTTGGTGCAGCAGAACAATGCTGTGCGACATAACAATGGTTTGCAGCAGCAGAACAATGCTGCACGACCGAACAATAGTGCGCGGCAGAACAATGGTGCGCGGCAGAACAATAACAATTGGGGACAACGGAACCGGAACACCAGCAGAATAGGGGTTCCATGGGCAAGGAATCATTTTTCTTGAGCCAGTCAGCTATTGAAGGAACCCATCACAACGTTGAGGTGTTCCATTCTAGTTCTTTTGTACATGGTTTTCTGACTTTCTCCCCTATTGACTTGAATGCTGCGGGAAGTAGATGATAATGCTGTTGTTAGCTGTTTGGTTTGTACTTCTGTCGTCAGGTTCTGTTTTCCATTTGCTTGTAAACCATACTCTTTTCTTCTCAGTCCTCTCTATTCATTCGAGCTGGAGATTTGTCAGTTTAGTCCATGTTTTTCGGCAGTTGAAAGGCCTTTTCCGAATTCATACATCCATATTATGCATAAATTGGTATATAGTAGTATACATGGTAGCTATTTAAATAAGTTATATTACTCATTAGTATTTAAATAAGTTATATTGGTTTTTGGGTAGAATATCACTTTGTTTTTAATAAAAAAAAGAAAATACATAAAAACGTAGGGATATAGTTGGAAGGAAAAAAATTCATAAAGATTAGTGATAATTTGTGTTATCAAGCAAACAATATAATATATATGAATTGTTTGTACAGAAAAATTAAAATATATATATATATTGTAGACATACGTGTATTGTAACTTTTTCAACCAAACTATCACATGTAACTTTTTCAACCAAACTATAACCGATTTGTCAGTTTAGTTCATATATTTTCAGTGGTTGAAAGGCCTTTTCCGAATCATGGCAAAAATTTTATCGATGTATGTATAATAATATACATGTATATAAGAAAATTGGTTGTTTGGTTTTGTGATACCTATTGTAGTATTGAAATAATTGATATTACCTTTTGGGTGAGATGTCACATTTACTCTTTGTTTTAATATAAAAAAGAAGAACACATAAAAAAGTAGGGACATACTTGGAAGAAAAAAAATAGTGATAGTTTGTGTCATATCAACCAAACAATATATGAATTGTTTGTAAAAAAAATGATATATTGTAGACAATGTGTGCATTGTAACTATTTGAACCAAACTATATGCAACATATAGTTGGTTGTAGCTCAATTGGTAGAGTACTCGGATATATGAGCAACATATGTTGGTTGAAATGTCATTAAATTAATAAAAATATTTAATGTCAAGATTAATGTCAAGGGGTTGTAGCTCAATTGATAGAGTACTCGGATAGCTCATGAGAGGTACGGGGTTTGATTCCTCGCAGCTCCACTTGTTTTTTGTTCACCATAGGTAATGGGGTTTGATTCCTCGCAACACTACTAGTTTTTCTTCTCACTCTAGGCTGCTGCTCCTTACTTTTCGAAGTTCCGCGATGCTTCTCTTCCAACCAATACGCGAGAGGTACGGGGTTCAATTCCTCGCAACTCCACTTGTCTTCTGTTTTCACTCCAGGGTGCCACTCTGATTTGGGTCTGATTGTACATGTTTTATCCTCCTTTTACCTTGGATGTTTGAGGCATTTATGCTCCGTGAGGTTGGTTTTACGCTAGGTTGTGTCTTATTTTAGTACGTTTCAGATTCTAGCAGGTGAAATCGACCCCAGAGTCGAAAGTTGGACGAAAAGGAGCAAAAACGGGTCAAAGGATGGATGCAGCTGACTGAGGATCACGACAGGAGAAGAGAGTTCACGGTCAGACAGACCGTGAAAAGGGAGCTCACGGTCTCTCTAGAGTCCAACCAGTTCACAGTCACTCAACCGTGAACTGAGCTCTTTGACCGTGAACCGCCAAGCGTCCAGAGCAGCTCTCACGTCTCACTGGAATCAAGCCATTTCACGGTCTCTAAGACCGTGAACTCAAGCCATAAACCGTGAAGAGACTTAATGAAGCGGTGCGTTTTTGTTTGAGACCACGGTCCCCGCCATATGTTCACGACCGTGAACTGGGACTATGAATCGAGCTCGACCTGGGTATAAAAGGAGGGCTGAGCTGAAGGAGAAAGAGGGGGGGGGGGATAGAGTGAGAAAGTCTTCTTCTTCAACATTCTAGAGAGAGAAACTGACGAGCAATAAGGGAGAAGAGGCTAGGGTTTCACTCCAAGGCAAGGATTTGGGAAAATCTTCCCCAAAGGGAGATCTCTACTGCCCAAGGAAGGATTCAAGCATCTCCATTATGGTTTTTCTTCTTTCTCCTTGTGTTTTCTCTCTCCTAGCATGGAGTACTGGCCCTTTTCACTTGGATGTTTGTGAACCCTAACTTCTACCATGTGAATGATTGTATGGAATGATTGATTATGTGTTGGTGTGTTTTAATATGAGTTTGGAGGTATTTTCATGGAAGATTGTGTTGTGTGTTTGCCTATTCTATTTGCCATTCTAACCTAGGTAGAGAGAAAACCCCCTTTTTGATAAGATGCTTGTAAAGTTGGATTTTCTTAGACAATTCATGTCTCCTATCTAGGTTAAAGTAGGGCAACTCTCCTTATTCATGTTAGCACCTAGGTTGGTTGTGTTTTGGCCGTCCGAACTCCGATTCGAGGGAGAAGGTTTGACAACCCTTAGTCGATTAGGCCAAGAGAGCTACCTTGGTAGCTTAATCCGAATTCCTTCGCCTAGAGACCGAGAGAGTGATATTACATCACTTGCTGCACTTCCCTACAGTTCGCAACCACCTCCACCACACGTTTTCATTCGATCCGACGAGTCATGGTAGCTAGTTAGGGGGAGATACACTTGAGTGAATCCTTCTCATTTAGTGTCAAAACCAATTGCTTTTACAATCGTTTAAATTATAGATCGTAGTTTTCAACCAACACCCAATCGCTAGATAATGTTTCAAAGAATCAAAGTAGGGGTATATGGACCGATCCGGGTTAACATACTTGTCCTATATTGCACCCAATTAAGATTTATACTTGGTCCTTAACTGGGATTTTTATTGTGATATTCGGGACGACTCCTCACTTCTCAAAGCTCTGCAACGCTTTTCTTCCAACCGACAGTCTCCTTTCTCTCCTACTTGCCATCGGCGCCGGGTTAGTCGCCTCTTCAAACGCCACTAAAATTAATAAAACTTTTTATGTAAAGATTGACATCAAGGGGTTGTAGCTCAATAGGTAGAGTGCTCACATCGCTTTGCGAGTAGTATGGTGTTTGATTCCTTGCAACTCCATTTGTTTTTTTGTTCTCACTCCAGGCTGCCGCTCTTCACTTCTTGAAGCTCTGCGATGCTTCTCTTCCAACCAATTGGCGAGAGGTACAGGGTTCAATTCCCTGCAACTCTACTTGTTTTTTGTTCTCACTCCAGGCTGCCGCTCCTCACTTCTTGAAACTCCGCGACGCTTCTCTTCCAACCAACGCTCTCCTTTCTCTCCTACTTGCCATCGGCGCCGGGTTAGTCGCCTCTTCAAACGCCATTTAATTTAATAAAAAATTTTAATGTGAAATTGACATTGATGAGATGTAGCTCAATAGGTATGGGGTTCTATTCCTTGTAGCTCCACTTTTTTTTGTTCTCAATCTAGGTTGCCGCTCTTCACTTCTCGAAGATCCGCGACGCTTATCTTCCAACCAACTCGCAAGAGGTACGAGCTCGATTCCTTGAAACTCCACTTGTTTTTTTGTTCTCACTCTAGGCTGCTGCTCCTCACTTTTTTAAGCTCTGCGACGCTTCTCCTCCAACCAACACTTTCTTTTCTCTTTTACTTGCCATCGGCACCAGGTTAGTCGCCTCTTAAAACACCATTAGTTGTAATAAAACTTTTTAATGTGAAAATGACATCAAGGGGTTGTAGCTCAAATGATAGAGTGCTCGCATCCCTTTGCGAGAGGTACGGGGTTTAATTTCTCGCAGCCCACTTATTTTTTGGTTTTTGTATGGCAATTTATGATGTAATGGAACTGAGTCTAGGCTTATGCTTACCTAGTTGTTAGTGAGAATGGCGGTTTGGTTTAGAGATGAAGATGGTCGGACCAGAGGTTAGTGTTTACAAGGCGTTAGTGCGGGGCCTTGCTGCGTCGTTGAAGGTCTTTGATGCGCTTAGAACGATTGAAGGTATCAGATGCTGTCGCTCCTCACTTCTCGAAGCTCCGCGACGCTTCTCTTCCAACCGCTTCGCGAGAGGTATGGGGTTCGATTCCTTGCAGCTCCTCTTGTTTTTTGTTCTCACTCCATGTTGTCGCTCCTCACTTCTTGAAGCTCCGTGAAGCTTCTTTTCCAACCAACGCTCTCCTTTCTCTCCTACTTGCCATTGGCGTCGTGTTAGTCGCCTCTATTTACGCCATTAAATTTAATAAAAAAATTTAATGTGAAAATTGGCATCAAGGGGCTGTAGCTCAATTGGTAGAGTACTCAAAGCGCTTTTGAAAGGTACGGGGTTCGATTCCTCGCAGCTCCATTTCTTTTTTCGTTTCTGTTTGGCAATTTATAATGTGATGGAACTGAGCCTCGACTTATGCGGTCGAGACCAGAGGTTAGTGTTTATACGCTGCAGAGGCTGCTTCTCAAGTCAGCGACGATTTTTTATAACATTGTGAGGATTTGTAGTTGCACAACCACAACATGGTGTTCAGGTAATGCAATACTCAAACTTAGTGGCGCCTATCTCAGATTTTGGAATATAATGTTTCCCCCTTGTAGGGGTGGAGTTTCAGTTATAACCGGTAACCGAACGGTCGGTTACCGGTTAACCGAACTGCCGGTCCTCCTTACCGACAACCGACCGAAATAGAGATTTAGACTTCGGTTATCTCGGTTTTCGGTTAACCGAGTCACTTCCAAGACCAAAACCATCTCGGCCATTCTCCGAACACCGATCGATTTTCGGTCATCTCGATTATCGGTTAGTGAATAACCGGCTGGTTATTGGTTTACCTATCCGGTTAACCGGTAACCGAACTTCCACCTCTACCCCTTTTAGATTATAAGAATACATGCAGGCATGTAACGTGGACATACCTGAGGTGAAATACATGGTTTTCGTACCTGATTATGACAAAAAGAAGATGAATTGTAGGAGACAATGTATTCTAAGAATCATTGGGGCAATTCCTGAAATCAACCCTTGATCTTATTGCTTGGATTTCATATTATATACATCATATATAAATATCAGTTTCTTGTTTTGAGTGAGTGACGCAGAGAGAAGAAAAGGCAGATACATTCTGCTCCAGCTGGGGCATGAAATGGAAGCTTTGTGTGCAGCTTAAGAAAGGCCGTCAGTCACTTTAGTTTCATCCACTTCACATCACAGGATCTGTCCTCGCTTTTCTTTCTCCTTGTCACGAGTCTATTGGCATTAAAAATGGGCCGAAAAACTGTTAGAAACTCTTTGTTCAAAATCGACACCGTTAGGAGCTTATCGATTTTCGGTTGCTGAAAACCAATAAGACCTTAACTGATTCTATTTCGTTCAGAATACACAGAAAAACCAAAAAAACGAACATTCGATTGCGTTAAATTGATTGATTTATAACGATTCTCGGTTTTAAAACCGAAACTGTTAAGGGTTTATCGATTTTATACCCGCAAGGGAAACCAATAACCCTATACAACCGTTTCGGTTAAAACCGAAACCGAATCATCACTCAATTAAAGTACAGATTGGAATTAGACTGGAGAGCCCCCAAAAGAAAAGAGTTAAAAGCGTACAGTTGGACATTGGGTTTTTTTGAGTCGAGGGAGGACCTGTTCTTTGCTGTAAAGACAAAGAACTGAGGTACCTTCCAGTTCACGTAATTTAGGTTTTTTTTTTTTTTGGGTGTGGGTGTCCTGAGCTGGCTAGTGAGTGAGTGATTGGGTGAGACGCACATTCGCTTGAATCTTTTTGGGTGGCGCATCTTCGTGGGTTCCATGATTATATGCTTAACTGCCTGCGGTTAAATTACTTGGACTTCCTCGCTGTCTTGTTCCTCGGTCTCTTATTAGATTCATACAGAACCAATTTTCCATCTCGCCGGCGAGAAAGCTAGCTGCCCTTTTAGTGCCTGTCAATTTTATAGAATAATCCAGATAGACAGACATAGATCCGATGATATTCATTCATGATTGTGAGAAAGAGAAAAGTCTAGCACATCGCCGTTGATAGAATCAGGACCTCCCAAAGTTTTCTGGTACACTAATTAATTAATTAATGATATCAACTTATAATTAGCTAGGTAAATTCCTATGGCGACTTCAAGTTTTTATGATTTGAACCTTTCCATCTGTTTGCAGGTTACATAACGGCTTATGTAATTCGTGTTAAATTTTTTTTTGTAACAGTTGTAGGATGCTCTTATACACGATTTACGTAACGAATAATATTTTTACATAATGAATATTAGCATAGAGTTATACGGAAATAATCTTATGTAACATGTTATGTAAGAGTTTAATAGCATCACATAATATTTATAAACATATTTGTATTTTACATGACCGTTTTAGAATTGTGTAATGAGTATTAACATGGAGTTAACTACACTGGAAATACATTACGAAAGTCTTACTTAACACGATTTCTTAAAACTATTTGTATTTTATGTCACCATTAAAATAAAAAAAATATTACATTTTACGTAATGCGGCCTGTTAAGCTTATTATAGCAGGGTAAGAAATTCAATTTAGGGTTATAGGTATAATATGCCCCTCTACTATGACGTTTTTATCAAACATGCCTCTCTACTATTTTTTACATCAAACATGCCCTTCTGCTAAAATTTCCATTGGAAAAATCGTCAATCATGGCTGAACCGAGATTTAGACGACCCGACATCGACAAATGGGAGAGAAAATATCAGTTTTGTCCCCTGTTTTATTTCTCTGGGTCTTTTCAAAGTGAAATGATTTGAATTATTTGGCTATACAAAAGATTCAAAAAAATTCTAAAGTGAAATTATTAGAGATATTTTAGACATTTGTGTCGCCCAAACTAAAGTTCGGCATTGGTTAACGATTTTTGGATGAAAATTTGAACAAAAGTGCATGTTTGATAATTTTTACAAAGTACAGAGGCATGTTTGATGTAAAAATAGTAAAAGGGCTATGTTTGATAAAACATCATAGTAGATGAACATATTATACCTATAACCCTTCAATTTATCATAACTTCAAAGTACGTTATTACATCCCTATAACTAGAGACTGGATTGTTGTTCATTAGCGTCACTAGTGGAGCTAGGCTGAAGGTAAGAGTGGTTGTAGCTAGCCCTACTCAATTTTAAATTATAAATAAATCTACATATAAATTTTGTATAAATTTAAGAATTAGAATAGGCAATAAAGCTTTACCTCCTCCTCCAATTATGACAATTCAAGTCCGTCCATAATCCAGATTTACGGCGCATTTTGTTCTCTTGTACAACTTCCTTTTGTCCAATTGTTTGAAAGACTAAATTATTATTATTAGGTTATTGAGTATTAACCCTACAAAGATATGACATGGTACATCAAATCCAATCAAATCCCGCTTTATTTCGTCCTCCTTATTTCCGTGCCTTCTTTGCCCGCCGTTTCTGGTTTGCCTCAAGAGTCTTCTTCTCGGTCGGTGGGGCGTGATTGGAGAATCAAGTTCTAGACAAATCGGAAAAGAGGACCAGAAATTTCCAGATCTGCTCATCAATCTTTCTACCACCTCCACGTCACGTAGGAGAGAAAATGGAGAAGGTTACTTGTCGACGAGAGAAAAAAATGACATAAACAGAACCACCACCGCCTTATTACGTACCAACCGACACGGGCGAACCGATAAGGTTTTTGGGATGGTGGAAAGTGAGGACGTGGAGCAGGAAAAGAAACCCGCCCGCTCACCATATATATCCATAACGAACAGTGTCGTAGACTTTTGGAAGTTGCGATTGTTAGCATTGTATTTGTTAAATACATGCATTGTTCACAATACAACGTTTGGAAGTGTCAAGTTGCAAAATAATGCATGTATTGTTTTGTGTGGGTCCCACCAACAATCAACAAAAATGAGGGATTGTACAATCTCAACTAAAAGTTGAGATTGTTGGTTTAATAATTGAGCACATTTACTTTTTCCAATTATGTCCATAGTTCTTTTTGTTTTATATTAAAAGTGGAGGACAAATATGACATTTCCTTATAAAGTAACTTTTTAACAATCAATTCATAAATTGTAATCTCAACAACCAATTAATGTAATTTCAAAATGCATCTACTGTATCAATGCATGCATTTCTATCATAGTGATTCATAACAATACAACGATTTAATAAGATACACAACTTCCAAAAACGACACCATTGTTCGGTGGGAATTTTTACTACTGTATTAGTATTAGTAGTCTCTCGCCTTGCTGGTTAAGTGTTTGACCAAATTAAATGCTATATTGCCCATTATCTTAATGTGGTCGGGAAAGTCTGTCCAATGAGATCGCACAAGGTGGATTTTACCTCTTTACTAATTTGGTTTTGACTGTTGGTTGGTCTTTAATTTGTTTGTCCACTTTTGACTTACAGGTGGGAAAATGATTTTGGACTATTGAAACACACATTGTTGGGTCGTTTGATGAGTCATTTTGCATGTTGGTATTTTGAGATGAGATGATGTGTTATTTTATGAATGTAGTATTAATGAGTTATTTGGGAATTATTGTATGGAAATGGTCTTGTTTGGCTAGAGATTGTTTGAATGAGGTTTTTAGCTGACTTATTTCGGGTAAAAATAATTTATTGATAATTTGTTTGGCAATAATTTACTAGCAATGAGTTATTTGGATTCGTTATAGCCAAATGTCATATGTGAATGATTTAACCAAACGTGATATTGTAACCCAATTACCATCAGAGTGAAATTACTGCATTGATATTTCATTGACAAACGAGTTGAGTTGTTTGGATCAAAGTAACCCACCGAAATAACTCGTCCAAACCAGATATTTATGCATAATTGGATTGCATAATAGTTTATGGCCTTGGGTAAAGTTGTGGAGTGGATATATGGGTGATTGTCCCTTCTCTTTTATAAACTACAATGACGTCGAGGAAGAAGAATTAGAAACATCTGCCCTAGAAAGATTTGGTCGACTACCTTAACCCCAAATGGTAATATAAACTAATGAATGAATGAAATGATGTCTGCTTTTCATTGGGTATGGTTCACTGTCTTAGAAGTCCAAGTACAATTAACAAATTATTGTTGTTGTTATTATGGACCAATCGATAAAGCCAGCACAATAATAATTAGACAAACCATATGGGAACATGTGAAATCACGAGAAGGAAAAAAGAAAAAAAAAACTAAAAGGGGAAAGTGAAACGCGGCAGGTTAGGTTTAGGGGTGGCAAAACCGGTTTGAGTGGAGCCGATTTTTATATGTATCATTCTGATTTTAAGGTTTTAAAATTGTAACCATCTTTGTAATTAAAATTGTGTAGGAATGTAATATGTTATACCACAATCAATCAGTATACGGTTTGGGGAAACCCCACTCATACCATTACCGAACAATCATGTATAAAATTTTTATATAATCTAAAATTGTTCTTTGAGATGTAAAATAAAGATGGGAAAAATGCAAACGATGAAAACATAAAAAAACATAAAAAGGAAGAAAGGACATGTTCAAAAGTATAAAGGACCTAGATTCCTTATGTGATAATCGTTTGAATCCAATCCATAAATAGTTAGCCCCACGTTAAACAAGTCACATAAGTAGGGTCACTAAACAGGACTATTTAGTAATTAGGTACATGGCTCCACATGTGGTACCGAAATAATTGAGATTTGTACACATAATTAGCCAACCATAAGATTAGTGAGCATTGCATTGCTCCCAAGTTCATGTTTGGGTGGCGGCAAACCAACAATTTAGGGGGAGGATTTGATAAGGTTGGGCACGATTAATTATCAGCGGCGGATTCAGGATATAGTATAGCTCTGGGTTGGATTTGAATGAAATATTGGATACCGTAACAAAAAAATATATGTAATAACTATAATTTATTAATTTTCATTCATTACAATGCTGATTTGGAAAAGAAAACCAGCGACCAGCGGGCTGGCGGAGGAATTCATTTCGGATCCGGTCATCTCTTGTTCTTGTTTTTGTTTTGAGAGGATTAGAGAATTTTTTTTTGAGTTTTGACAGGGTGAACTTTAGTTTATAAGGATTTTTTTTCCATTTCAATGAAACTTTATACTTACTCTTTTACATTATAGACTTTTAAATTTTATTGTTTTTTTTTCAAATGAAAATCATTCGGGCTATATTTTCTACGCTAAATTTATTGTAGTGGTTTGGATATGTTCATCTAGATCATTTTCCTAGTTACAAAAAAAATTTTATTATCAAAAAAACACTAAGCCGATTTTTAAATAGCAGTGGGCCGAATATCTAAAACCAAAAAAATTTATAAGCACTATACTAGTTCTGGATCCGGAGGAGGGCTGGACCGTGACCCTAGTTAGCCTAGCCCTAGATCCGCCGCTGCTAATTATACCACAGTCGCACACAAGTATGATCGTTCCAAACCGTACTATGCTTGTATCACGCTCTATAACTCTATATTATCAGTGTCTCCGCAGACGTGTTCAACCAAGATAATCTCGACGTTGAATCAATCTTCACAGAACTTAGTGTTGCTCCCATCTCGAATGCTCTTGAAAGTGCTTTGCCACACCAGTAGTCCTTCACAGTCCACAATGAAAACCAATTTGCGAATTAATTTGTAAGGTGTGAGGCCAGTTTTGAAGTGTTTTCTTTTAGTACATGCACTCTTTTTTACTATTGAGAAAAAATCACCCAAATTCGTACAAATAATATTGAGAAGGATAGCAACCATTTGCAATAAGTTGGAATATGATATGACATTCAAACTTGGCTATTTGGTCTCGGACTGTTTGGTTTTACCCGAAACCGGACCGGGACCGGATTGTGTTCGGATAGCAAACAATCCAATCTCATATTCGGGCTTAAATTTGTGGTAAAAAAACCTGGATAAAGACCGGATAAGAGACCCCCAACACCTAAAATACAGATCAAATTGGGACCGGACCGGGTCAAGACCGGACTGTATCCAATCCAATTTTTGGTCCTTATATTTCCGAAAAAACCGGACTGGGACCGGATCAATTTGGTCCAATTTAACCGGACTGGACCGTATAGCCACTCATAAATCAAACATATATATGAAATGAATAGGGTTGCTACTTTTCACTCTCTTCCTTGGTTTGACGAGAAACCATTGCTAATTTGCTACCCTTCCTTTACTTTTGCCCTTTTCCTCCAAAACCCGTCATTCATGAATGTGCGATTCAACACTCGTGATGAAACTTCTAGACTCGGCCACTCAACGCACCCGCACGGCCCGGACGAGAATTCCAGAGAATTGAATGCCGCCGCTGGCGCTTTGAGTTGGAGTCACACATATATGCTTTAATGTTCATTCCAAAAAATCGACCGAAATCTGTGATGGTACCCTTTTGGAAACTGCCAAAAATTGACCCGTAACAAATACGCCCAAATCGACTTGCAAACTGCTGGTTATTGAACCAAGAAGGGCCAAGCAAGAGGCATTGAGCACTAATTGTAGAGCTGGACTCAAGCCTTTAGAAAACGGTTTGGTCCATCCTTTAATTGTCCAGGCAAATGAAGTCAGTCGTTATTATAGCTAGTTTGATGATTGTATCAGTTTAGTTATTATAGATCCAGTTCGATTTCATAATGCACTGAGAAGTATTTTCTTGTATGAAGAGAGATTGGGTTTGATATAGTTTGGTCCTCGTGGACCTAACCAACCAACTTGTTAGGCAAGAGGGCTGAAGGGTTTGGGTTGGTCAAGTATAAACATAATCTACCGAATTTACCTTTTGTTCAAACATGCCAAATTTAGGGAATTTTGGTCTAGACCGACTTGAACCTAATAACTATTTCTCTTTGATTCAAATTCTAATTAATGAATTCGATGCAAACCAAATCCACTTATCTCAGGTTGATCATTTGGAAAATCTTGATTGGATTAATTTCACCAAATTTGATGAATTCACTCTTCATTGTTGATAGGGTGAAATAGAGTTTGAATAATTTCATTGCCTTGAGCATCACATAACTAATCTAATCTTTCTCGTTAAAAATTGATGATAGTCGTTAAGACGAGACACACAAAAAAAAAACAGTATTTATAATTCTTACTCTAACTACTTTGCATCAATAAATTCAAGAGAATACGAAATACTCTAATCCACGGCTAATATTAAGTGGTGCCTCCACGCAGCCAAGATTAACATTGCAGTTATAACCGCGCTTCTTCGCCGGAGTTATCTTTTCTGAAGTTGCAGTTAAGTTTTCATATGCTTCAGTTAAGTCTTTTTTAATTAATTTCTGAAAACGCAGTTAAGTTGTTTCGGATCCCTAATTAAAAAAAAAAAAATTCTCTCCCTCCTCCATCTCTCGCTGTCATGAGAGATGACATTTAATTAATTCACGATTTGATTTTTAATTAATCAAATGTTAAATTTTCCAGTGAGCTTTTCAGTTTTCTTTTCTCTTCTACACAGATGCCTAATCAATGCACGCAACGCAATTCATTCCGTTTCTCCTCCCTTTCCCCTCTCTATATAATCCTCCGCCTTCCTCCTCCACCCTGTTTTCGGCCTCAATCAACAACGCACAACAGTTTCCCCCCTTTCGCAAAACTAGAAAACCCGGCAAAACCTCCCTTCTTCCTCCTCCTCCCTCTCACTTCTTCGCTTTCTGTTTGAATTCTCTACTCATGGCGAAGCGCGTCCTCGTCACCGGCGGCGCCGGCTACATTGGGACTCACACCGTGCTCCAGTTGCTCTTAGGCGGTTACCGCGCCGTCGTCGTTGACAGCCTGGACAACTCCAATCAACTCGCCCTCCGCCGAGTTCAGGAACTCGCCGGCAAGCACGCCGAGAATCTGTCCTTCCACCAGGTTCGTCGTCTCCCCGCTGACCGGCCAAGTCTCTGTGAATTTTACTGAATTGAATTTCGCTGTTCGGTCTCCGAATTGTCTGGAATTGAAAGCCCTGCCTGCCGCGGCGGTGAATCCGTCCGCTTCCGCGGAATTCCGGTCTCTCTGTGGCGGCAATTTTGGTTTGATTTGATTGGTTGCTTTATTTCCTGCCGGTTTACTTTTCAAGTATGGGCTACTGATTTTCATCCCTTTTTTTTCCCCTTCCCTTCTACTTTTCTTCTTTGATCTTCCTATGAGTTTACAGTAGCCCAATTATGCTTTGCAAAGTGGTTGTAGGCCTCTGAGATTCGTCCATTCCAGTTCTCTTGGGATGAGAATTATGAACAGTTGTTTATGATATATACTGAATTCAGATAGTATGTATATTTTGTGTTGCCAAAATCCAGAAGTTTCCATGTACAGTGACCTACTGAAGTTCATTGAATTGTGTGGTTCGTTACTGAGAGTATGGATTCAAATTTGCAGGTCGACATAAGGGACAAGCCTGCGCTGGAGAAGATTTTTGCGGGGACAAAGTATGAATGAGTTCTACACAGTGATGCTCCTGAATTTAATATGTTGCCATACTGATTAGGTGAGTTTTTAGGGTCTCTCATTATGCTTTTATCTGCACCTTCCAGATTCGATGCTGTCATCCACTTTGCTGGACTGAAAGCAGTGGGCGAGAGTGTTGAGAAACCCTTGTTGTATTACAACAACAACGTCATTGGAACGATTACTTTGCTGGAAGTAATGGCTGCCCATGGATGCAAGAATGTGAGTTTCTTCTTGAGTTGTGTGCGTGTCTTACTGGCTGGAGAGTTGGCATTGTGTGCTGATGATCCTTTGATTCTGGCTTTTGTGGGTTCAGCTTGTCTTCTCATCATCAGCCACAGTCTATGGTTGGCCGAAGGAAGTCCCGTGTACAGAAGAATTTCCAATTAGTGCAATGAACCCGTATGGGCGTACCAAGGTATCTACTAATGTTGTTGGGACTATACTGAGCGACTGTGTACTCAAGTTATTGGTTAGTGTGACGAAAGTTAAAAATAGGTCGACCAGGGAGAAATGATGTCTAGAGCAGGAGAAATAACTAGAAGATGAGGATGTCATCAATAATGTTATGTAGACAGTATAGTTTGCTGTGTCTAGTACAGTCATGACTTTGTTTGCATGAATGCTAATCTTACGAGGCCGGCCTTTTCAGCTTTTCATCGAAGATATTTGTCGTGATGTCTACCGCTCAGACCCTAAATGGAAGATAATCTTGCTGAGGTATTTCAATCCAGTTGGCGCGCATCCTAGTGGTAAGATTGGTGAGGATCCTAGTGGAGTCCCGAACAACCTCATGCCCTTTGTGCAGCAAGTTGCTGTTGGCAGAAGACCTCATCTAACCATCTTTGGGACTGACTACAAGACCAAGGATGGAACTGGGGTATGCTTCGCACTTTTTCCGTTTACATGTATTCTTTCTGCTCTGCATGTAAGCACTTCTGCCTTTTTGGCTGAAAGCCAAGCCAAGAATGATCTCAGTATCATCCCTTCCAAGTGGGACTATAGTTTTATCCAAGAAGCTGGTTTAGTTACATGTCACTTAGAAATATTGTGTCTGGTTGACTTAACAAAGGTCTGTCTCATACTCAGGTACGTGATTACATTCATGTTGTTGATTTGGCGGATGGCCACATTGCTGCATTGCGTAAGCTGGACGCACCTGATATAGGTATGCTCCTCAATCTTTTGTCTTCCTTTGAATTTTTTCTCCACTGCTCGATCACAAAACCTTGGTTTAGTTATACACTATCCTGGAAACCCTTCCTCTCCTTATGCTTACGGCTGTGTGCATGGAGTCCTTTGGTTCTGAACCCCCACTAGATTGATTGCCTTCAACATGACCTAATACGAATCCAAAATTATAGAGTATTGGTCTGGCTGTAAATGTTTTACAAGGATACAGTTGATAGTCGGCTCGTGCATCTAGCTTCTTGTGGTTCTGCTGTACACCCTTCTCAAACTTGACTGTCCATGAGGAACTATTGGCTTATGCCCATAATTTGAAAGTACATGAATTTACAACCAGTGAATAGGTCAAGAAGTTACTAAGTTAGTTGATACTGGAGGCTAATTAGAATGTTGGATTGGGTGGTCTGTACAGGTTGTGAGGTATACAACTTAGGAACAGGGAAAGGAACATCAGTGTTGGAGATGGTTACAGCATTTGAGAAGGCATCCGGAAAGGTACACCCAACTGTTAAAATTGCATAATCTGGTTATCCTGCTTCCCACCCAAGTCTTCATCCATTTTTGGCTCTCTCTCAGCCATTCAATCTTCATACTGACACTCTTCCCATCACTGTCAATCAGAAAATCCCTCTAGTAAAAGCTGGACGGCGACCAGGCGATGCTGAAATAGTTTACGCATCAACAGCGAAGGCAGAGCGCGAATTGAATTGGAAGTAAGTTGCTATATCAAAATCACCAGGCCTTTTTAAAAAGCTCGTAATCTTGTCAGCATCACAGAAATCACAATTAGGGTCATACATGTTTTCCTTTCATTTCCTTTTAATAATAGCGCAATCAAGTGCGTCTCTTGTGTCTCAAGTCTCAACCCCACAATTTGCTCTGCAGGGCCAAATTTGGAATTGAAGAAATGTGCCGGGATCAATGGAACTGGGCCAGCAGGAACCCTTACGGCTACAGCTCACCAGACGCCCCCAACGGGACCAAGTAGAAACGGGGAAAGAAAGATAACAATCCTCACAGGTTTTTTTCCCCTTTAGGTACAACAACAGCACAGTAAAGAAGCATATGATATGGGTGTAGATTCTTCCTCTTCTTACTATTGAATAAACATCTTGCTGTGGGCTTCCAGCCTGCTTGCCCAGTATTGATAGTAGAAAATTAGATTGGCTTTTTTCTTCTTTTTCTTTTCCTCCTTTTTTTCTTCTTTTTTTTGGATCTATAGGATATGTGTAAAGAGGTTAAGGTTAAGGTTAGGGTTGGTCTTATTTTGGTGTCTAAATTGGTTAGCACGTTGTTCACAGATTACAAGTAGAGAGATGTTCTGCAATCAAATGTGTTCTGTAAAGCTGATAGTTGTGTTCTGTATGAGTGGTAAGAGAATAATGAATTGTTATTATATTTTAGAACAGATTAACTATTATTTCTGTGCTGGTTTGGTTGTGTATAAGTATGAGATTTGCTGGAGGATAGCAAGTGTCCAGAATTCAGTCAATCAGTAGCAACGGTAGCACTGGCGGTGTTTTGATTTCCTAATCATTGGGATCGGTGGATTAATAGTTTAGTCCAGCAATTGAGGATTCTAATGAGGGCAGAGAACGTGGGTTGTGTATATGGAGGTCAAATCAAGTATGTGACGATATTCCTACTCGTCTCATGGCAGGTTGGATAATTTATTATGGACTGCAGGGCGTGGGCAGCTCAATTCGTGGGTTTAATAGACTTGAGTTATTATACATTCATTAGTAATTATATATTACAATAAGAGATCATGATTTGGGGGAAGTCTATAAGACAAATTTTATAACGGAATTACATTTGTTCAATATATGACTTACAACAAAAAACATAATGTATATTAAAAAAATATTTTGAATCATTATGTATGTGGTATTTTCTTTTCATAATTTGAATGCTCAAGACAAGGAAGAATGGATTTTGTCATGAATTGTAATTAGACTTTGAGGTGGGCTAGGCAGTTAATTGATACATAATGATAGAGTAAGCATAGAACATGTCCTTTACTCTATAGTCTATACCATTCGCATTATGTACGAGTTATGTTAACTAAACAATGTTGGACACTTGGACTAATTTGTTGCGAATGGTGGGGAGAAGAGTGATGTAATAGATCTTGCATGATTTGTGGCTAGTTCTTACTATGATACCCGAGTTGTTTACAATCAATTCACAAAACGCAATTGAGACGAAAAAAGACACTGCTTAGTGCGTCAATCGTACGGACTTAAGTCCTAATAAAAACAAATATATAAAATGTCAGCGGATTGAAACTTAAAACCCATCTCCATCTCATTGAAAAATTTATCCAACTTTTTTCACTAATGCCATAAAAAGTTTCTTGTCCATCTCTCTTTAGTTTTTGTTGAGTTCACAAGGTTAAACAAGTTACTCATTTCTACAAAAATACCAAGTCACTCATTGGTAACTTTAAACTCGGAAATTAGTTCGAAATCCAAGGTAAACGATAACAGTAACAATGTTCATCTATAATTAGGGATGGCAAATTACCCACCCATGGGTAATTATACCCAAACCCAAGTAGACCCATTAATAATGGGTTGGGTATGGGTGAAGTGCATATGGATTTGGGGCTTTATAGATGAGTTTGGGTTTGGGGCTTCCATAATCTAAATGGGTATGGGTTGGATATGGATATCCATTTACTTGAGGGTGTTTTAACTACACATGCAAAAATTGGACATATTTGTAAAACTTGAAAAGTTTAGGTACCAAAATGTAAGACCAAAAATATTTAGGTACCAAAACGTAATTTTCCATCGATATTTTGAGGACTTATATGCAAAAAAATTAAATTTAGGTACTAAATATGCATGTCTATTAAGTTTGTGTATCAAATGTAATTTGTATTTGGGCATGGGTACAAACCCAAATCCATTTGATATATACCCAACTCAACCCAAAGTAAATGGGTATGAGTACAAACCCATCAAACTCTACCCATATTCATCTATTTGGATTTCATACCCACCCAATTGGATTGGATAGTAAGAAACCCATGTGTATGGACAAAATTGCCATCCCTATCCATAATTAAAAAAAAAAATTCAGTTTTAGTGGCACTTCCTACCGTTGGCGTTGGGTATGAAAAATCATGGTTTTGGATCGGCCCAATTCAAAAACAAAGATAGTGGACGTTGGGTTGGTGGGCCTACGTTTTGTTTTGTTCCTGAGAGTGGCTGAATTTGAACTCAGTATTTTGAATCTCCGAAGCCTTTTCTTCTTAAAATATTTAAAAGAATAAAAAAAGCCTAATAAACTTTTATCTTCACCATTTAATTACTGAACGGCTAAACATCGTCCTAGTTTTACTGTTATCGCCCTAACTTAAAATATATAATTACAAAATTATCCTTCCTTAACCAAATAAAAACAAAACAAAACAAATCGACTTTAAAATCCCGAATGCGCTATCTTCGTCAAAAGAAAGCAATTAAACAGCGCCGGCCAAAAAAGCAATTAAACGGTCCCTTTGACGGCACCAGCGCGACTCGCTACACTCCAAACCAACTCCGATCACCTGCACTCCAAACGACTTTGCCACGAACAAAGACAACCAAAAGACACATTGTCCTGCCGCCATCGTGGTCCTCCATAAGCTCACCCCGCTTCTTTTCTATTTATACCACCGCAATTAGTAAAACAAGTTGTAATTATGCATGCAGTCATGGAGAACCATTAAAGCTCCAGAGAAGATGAAAAGAGGAAATCATATAATCAAGCTTTTCTTGTAGTTTCTATGAAAGATGCTGGTCTCCATTTTTCACAATTGTCGGAAGTGGGTAGTGGTGGCGGCAGCCGGTGATAGCAGCAACGTGTACCGGTAGCGACAGCCAGCAAGTAGTGATGGGTGTTAATGCCAACAAAAATGAAAGGGTATAAAAGTAAAATCTTATTATTAAGCTAGGGCGATCTGTATAAGCTAGGGCGACATTTAGCAATCCCCTTTAATTAACCATTGAAAAATCTTGCTTCCAAATAAACTAACCGTCTTCGCCTTCGTAAACCCTCCCCACAATATATACAGTTATACACCTCCCTCCATTTTACAGATAACTTCCTAATTACTTTTCCTCTCCATTTGAAGTCATCTCTGTGTCAATTCCAATTCAAACCCACCACGCGCTTCTCTCTCTCGCTCCGTCTGCATCGCCAGTCGCCACCAATCCTTCACATCTTCGACCGAAGCTGTTCCTTCCGGCAGATCCCCCGCTCAATTCCTCAGATCCAGGGAGATCTCCGATCTGACGGCTGCGGGCGGCTGCGCCGGCGGGACTCTCTACAGATTCCTGCTTGTTTCCTTCATTTCTAACTAGCTCGGAGATATGGAGAATTTGATCTCTCTAGTTAACAAGATTCAGAGAGCTTGTACTGCTCTCGGTGATCACGGGGAAGCTAGCGCGTTGCCGACTCTTTGGGACTCTTTGCCGGCTATCGCCGTCGTCGGTGGCCAGGTTACCTTATGAATCCCTAATCTCTTGTTTAAGCGGTTGCCTGTTGGCTCTGGCAGGTGTGAATTTGAAGCTCAAGATGGTGTTATTGAGTTTGCGGTTGTTTTATTTTTGAAATAGAGTTCGGGGAAGTCGTCCGTGTTGGAGAGCATAGTAGGAAAGGACTTCTTGCCTCGTGGATCTGGTAAGAGCTGTTAAACCGAATAGCTCTTTGAAATCGCGTTGTTCTTGTTGAGTTCTCTGTGTCTTGGAGATGGTATAATGAGTCGGTTTGTCTGAAATTACTTCGTGCAGGGATTGTTACTAGAAGACCTCTAGTGTTGCAGCTTCATAAGCTAGAGGAAGGAAGCAGAGAGTATGCTGAGTTCCTCCACCTTCCGAGGAAAAGGTTCACCGATTTTGGTAAGAATTGAACTTCCTGGAGGAAATTCCAATCATGTATTTGTTCTAGATTGGAGTCCATAGGCAAATGTCTCAACTGGATGGAGTTCCGCATAATGTTCTGATTGTGCTTAGAGTAATGTTATTGAATGCAGTTAATTACTGATCACTATTGGCATGTGGATATGCCTTTCTCTTCGCTTATATGGCTCCCAATTTGTTAACTTGTGGCCTTAACTTGGTGAGACGTACTTAGTTGTGTGCTCAATTGGTTTAGTTCGCTCATTACATTGGTGCAGGTGCTGTGCGGAAAGAGATTGCAGACGAGACTGATAGAGAGACAGGACGCTCTAAACAAATATCTAGTGTTCCAATCCATCTCAGCATATATTCTCCAAACGGTGAGGCCCAGTATGAGCTTTCCAAGCTTTTTGGCATCTGTTGTTGTAAGCATTCTGCATTCTGATGGCTCTTTGATATTGCAGTTGTCAACCTTACGCTGATCGATCTTCCTGGGCTCACAAAAGTAGCTGTTGGTAAGTAGCATCTGTCCATTTAGGTATCGCTGACTGGCCTTCCAAGCCTATAAGTTCTTCTAGGTAGTTGTTAGACGTCTGGAATATTGAAGGTCATTGAATGAGATGGAAAACGAGTTGCAACCTTGTAAGGGTTCCAAGCACGCATGGTTGGATGTTTTGATGCAAATGCATGCTGTGTTTATGTTCTTTTCAATCAGTTAGCATCTTTGTGGGTTGTAATGTGATTTGTTTTGCAAATTGCAGAGGGTCAATCTGACAGTATTGTGCAGGATATCGAGAACATGGTGCGCTCCTTTATTGAGAAGGTACATCCAAGATGATTGTTCAAATTAAAATTTAATTTGTTACACCTCTTTCATTTTAGCTTTCAAATTTGTTTACACCTTTGACTCCTTGCTAAATTTTGTGCAGCCCAACTGTTTAATTTTAGCAGTATCACCTGCAAATCAAGATCTTGCCACATCTGATGCTGTTAAAATTTCCCGCGACGTGGACCCGACAGGTTAGTTTGCTATATTTGAACCTAGTATGCTAAGTTAGCATGCGCCTGTAGTCTTAACTAAGTACTCACAAAGAAGTTATATCTAAGTGCTAGTTGTTGCTTCAGAATATTTTTTTTCATCTTCCAATCTTGAGCTTAATGCTCTGGATAATGAGAATGTACCCTATTGCATTGTCAGGAGAGAGAACTTTTGGAGTTTTGACAAAGATTGACCTCATGGACAAGGGTACTGATGCAGTAGAAGTAAGTAGGCTTTTTTGTTTGGATGGCCATGTGTATACATCAAACTATGCTCTAAGATGCTCTTCTGGCTGATTCAGATATTGGAAGGAAAAGCTTACCGGTTAAAATTTCCTTGGATTGGTGTCGTGAACCGTTCTCAAGCCGACATTAACAAGAACGTGGACATGATCGCTGCTCGGCGTAGAGAGCGTGAGTATTTTGCAACCACCCCAGAGTACAAGCACCTTGCTAACAGAATGGGTTCTGAGCACCTAGCAAAAATGCTGTCAAAAGTAGGGCCATTGGATTATGCACTTTCTCTCGAATAATGGATGCGGTAGTGACCTGATTACTAACCTTGTTTATGGTGCAGCATTTAGAAGTTGTAATCAAGTCCCGTATCCCTGGCCTTCAGTCACTTATTAACAAGACAATCGCTGAGCTGGAAGCTGAGCTTAGTCGCCTTGGGAAGCCTATTGCTACTGATGCCGGAGTAAGTATGCTCTTTGTAATTGAGGGTCCTTCCCCCTGATTACAAATCTTGATCCTTGTGTGTGCTTGTGTATATGTCTATCCCACTAGAATGTCTTGAGTGATTATGATTGGTTGATTGCAGGGGAAGCTATATTCAATCATGGAGATTTGCCGTCTTTTTGATCAAATATATAAGGAGCATCTGGATGGAGTGTAAGTGTAATGTTTTTGTTCTTACCTTTCTGGTCCTTTTGACCTCCGATTATGTTCGTTCATGGTAGTTCTATATATTTGACTTCGTATGGTTTCACTTAACTGGACATTCACAGTCGACCAGGAGGTGAAAAAGTATACAATGTATTTGATAACCAGCTTCCTGCTGCCCTGAAGAGGTTGCAATTCGACAAACAGCTTGCTATGGAGAATATCCGTAAACTGATCACTGAAGCTGATGGGTACCAACCACATTTAATAGCTCCCGAGCAGGGATATCGCCGTCTGATTGAATCTTCGTTGGTTACTATCCGAGGTCCTGCTGAGGCAGCTGTTGAAGCGGTATGCATGCTAATTGGAAAAACGATCTTTTGGGCCAGTGAGTTGATTTCTCACCAGCTGATATATATATTTTTGTGCTTGCTGCTTTAGGTTCATTCCATATTGAAGGAGCTTGTGCAAAAGGCCATCCATGAGACGCTGGTACGCTAATTTTTTTTTACTGTTCTTGTTATTTTCTTCTTCCAAGAAGTTGAATTGATGTGAAATTCCTTTTGGCTAACAGGAGTTGAGGCAGTACCCTGGCCTCAGAGTAGAGCTTACAAACGCAGCTGTTGAATCACTTGACCGAATGAAAGAAGAAAGCAAGAAAGCAACACTGAAGCTGGTGGACATGGAGTGTAGTTACCTGACTGTTGATTTCTTCAGAAAGCTTCCCCAAGACATTGACAAGGGTGGCAACCCTACTCATTCCATATTTGACAGATACAATGATTCGTATCTTAGACGGATTGGTAGGTTTCTTTGATTCCACACTCCTAAAACATGCTTATCATACACTTATTTGTTAATATATGATGGTTTCTAGTTTAGAAGACCATCAGTAATTTTCTGCGTTGAAATTCATTAACAGGAAGCACAGTTCTTTCCTATGTGAATATGGTGTGTGCAACCTTACGGAACTCTATTCCCAAGTCCATCGTCTATTGCCAAGTGCGTGAGGCCAAACGAAGCCTCCTTGACCATTTCTTCACTGAGCTGGGAAAAATGGAGGTGAGCTGATGGTTTGCTCTTTTCCATATCGTGACCAGTCATTTTTGCATTTAATTCAAAAACTAACTTGAAGATGCTAATGGGTACTGTTGCAGCAAAAGCAATTGTCACAGTTGTTGAACGAAGATCCTGCCGTGATGGAGCGCCGCAGCGCCCTCGCAAAGAGGCTGGAGTTGTATAGGTCTGCGCAGGCCGAGATCGACCAAGTCGCTTGGGCGAAGTAAAGGTAATGGCGATCTTGCTCACATGAGAAAGAATGGAATATGTCGTCGGGCCATCTGGGATGTTGGCGTCTGGTATTGTAGTATTAGTTGATGAGATTTTCATTGGTGACCTTGCTTCATTTGTTTGCCATCCGCTGATTCATTTTTATTATGTAGTTCTCCTCCTGTGAGCTATTAAGATTTTCCTCGTCTTTGATTTGGCTGGCTTTAGTAAACGAATTGACGGCTATACGGAGATAGCCTGTGTATATGTGGCTGTTCTGCTTAGCTTATGCTTGCATTCTTAGGTTTGGAGTTTGCTCTACATGGTAATTTTGCTGTTTTTATTTTCTAGGGTAGTGACCGTCTCGTCGTTACTGTCTACAAGAAATTTCACTTCTTCCAATTAGTAAAACTATGTGATGCAACATGCCCTCTGAGAGATGGAAAAGCAGTAAGGATGGTTGTCTGCCACTGTCGGGTTTCGAAGCTGTGATCTTCGAGCTGCCGAGCCAGAGTGTGATGGTGGAACGAATCGTCATTTACATATGAAGTTGTTCGCTCCTGCGAAGCCTGTTCGTCGTATGTATGCATATGGCATTTTGGTAGACGATAGGCGAATGAAGCGGCAGATGTGGTGGCTCACTGTCACGCCGTCATCCTCGTTACCAATTTCATACAACAGTGGTTTGGTGTGCCATCTGATGGACTTCAGATGGGTTGAGAACTTGAGATAGTTCCATAGTGGTGCTGCCAAGCTTAAAGAAAGAAAATCTATGTCATAGTCTTGACCTAGTTTAGCCTAGCGATTATGACACAATAACATCAACATGTTGGTTTTTATTAGTGCACAGTTTATACTTTAAATTGTGATCGGGAATTGCTGATCAAAAAGTTAAAGTGGGGCTTTGGGCCCATAGTTCTGGGCTATTGAACTGGCCCAGTTGAGCCCGTTATGCTGAACGGATGCTTCTCGATAGGTTTGGGTAAATAAATTGGGTTAGGCTATTTCCACACCCAACCAACCCGATCTCGGGTTGAGTATCCGAGTAGCCGAACCAAAAGGTTCTCCCACAGATTCCCAAATTCCTTACCGTTCCGTTACCGGGCCGCTTTCCTCTCCTGTCGCTGTATGACGTTTTAACTGACAACGACAAACTTTCAACTCAAGTTCATATGGTTCGTACACCCCAGCCCAAAACTCAGATTCAAATGCGAAAGAAGACGAGAAACGAAGAAACAGAGGAAGAAAGGGATCTTAACGTTCGTCTTATTTCATCATTGGATTTGATCTGCCCTCCCGCCCCCGGGATCAAAAGGTACGTATCACCATGTCCCATTCTTCATTTCTCAATCCGTTTCCTCCTCTTTCTCTTGTAAGATTTAGATTTTAGACGTACCTGGATTTTCTGTTTTCCATTTCTGTGAATTGGGTTTGCCTTCATTTCCCTGTCGGTTCGAGCTACCGTCTCCGGGTGGTCTTCCCTGGAATTGAAATGTCGCCGGGGATGTAATTCGACAGGGGAATGTTTGGTTCAGTTCCAATCCGTTCTCTTTGCGCCTGCTGCTGTAAAGGTGGAAACTTTACGGAATACCGACTGGTTATTACGCCAGAGATGCATGTTCATGACCTCTTTACTAGGTTATTAAGGGGCTAAATTTTGTTATTCTGGTGTTGTTGGTTTCCAGTTCTTGTCTCTGGGTGGTCTTCCCAGGAATATGAAATGTCGCCGGGGATGTATTTGGAAACCGTTAGTCGGTTTGAATGCACGCAAATTCGACTGGGGAATGTTTGGTTCAGCTTCCAATCTTCGCTCTTTGTCCCAGGCTTTTGTAAAGGTGGAAACTTTACAGAATGCTGATGGTTATTAGGCTGGTGATGCATGTTCATGAGCTCTTTTAATTAGGTTATGATTTGTTGAAATGAAAAGGGGGCTAAACATGTTCATCTGGTAACTTTGGTGATATCGTTGGAGATTGCTTGCAGGCTTGCGGTTCTTTCAAATCCATTGTGAAAGTAAGGGAAGATTTGCTGGTGTTGATGGTTTTCTGGCCTTCCTCTGCATTGGATTTGGCATTTGGTTGTTTATTTGTTCAGAGGGTTCATAATTGACTTCTGAATAATGAATATGTACACAACTTGAGCCCCTTCTCTTTTTGGTGGTATCCCAATACCAATATCAAACTTATTGTTAAGTTCTTTAGGTATGATGATTGGGGATTTCCCAACTGGTGGGAGTTGGAAATGATTTGTCACATGAGAAACCTTAAAATTTGATTGCTACTTCTTTATTCTTCTTTGATCATAGAAGTTTGTTGTAAACCATGAGCCACTTGCTAATCTATTGTTGTGTTCTTGAATGCACCAGTAACTCGTTGCGTAGGATCAGGAGATCGCAGAAGGCACATATGCTACCATGGAGTCTGAGAGGGAAGATTTCAACCTCTCAGGACCCTTGCACTTGACTTTTGTTGATTGGTAAGCCTTAACTTTCCACCAGTTTCAGTAAACCAAAGAAATGAATGTGAAGAAAAATGATCAGTCCATTGCCATTTTCAAAAGCTCTTCATTAAATATGGCAGGTCTAATGCACATCATCGAAGATCCGTCGCAGCCAGTTTAGTCCAAGCCGTCTACATCCTAGAGCGAGACCGCCAGCTCAAACGCCAGCATCCAATCGCACTTGCACCGCCATGGTGGGAGTTTTTCCACTTCAAGTTGCTCCGCAAGCTGGTAGACGATGCTGATCACTGCATCTTTGGAGCCATCTACGAGTACAGACCACCAACCCCTCATGGTCACCAGTCCCTCGATGCAAGCCCACGTTACGTGATCGCCTTCCGTGGAACCTTAACCAAGCCCGATTCTTTCGCACGAGACATCGAGCTTGACCTCCACATCATCAGGAACGGGCTCCACGAGACCTCCCGCTTCGAGATAGCAATCCAGGCAGTACGCAACATGGTGGCAGCAGTAGGCGACTCCAACGTCTGGCTGGCTGGACACTCTCTGGGAGCAGCCATGGCAATGCTGGCAGGGAAAACCATGGCCAAGAATGGAACTTTCATACCGGCATTTCTCTTTAACTCGCCATTCTTCTCCGCCCCCATCGAGAGGATCAAAGACAAGCGAGTGAAGCATGGGATTCGGATTGCTGGCAGCGTGATCACAGCCGGGCTCGCATTTGCTTCCAAGAGGAACTACAGCAGCCAGCAGGCGTGCAGTCGGTCTGTGGCTGATCCTTTTGTAGCTCTCTCGTCGTGGGTGCCTTGCGTGTTCGTCAATCCAGGGGACCCGATATGCTCGGAGTACGTGGGGTACTTTGAGCATAGGAAGAAGATGGATGAGATTGGGATTGGAGCGATCGAGAAGCTGGCGACTCAGAACACATTGGGCGGGCTGCTGATGAGTGCAATGGGGAGGGATTCGGAGCCGTTGCACCTCATCCCTTCAGCAGTCCTGGCTGTGAATTTGAGCCCTGCGCAGGATTTCAAGGAAGCTCACGGGATTCACCAGTGGTGGAGGCCCGATTTACAGCTGCAATCCAACATTTACAAGTACAAATAGACTTTGCTGGTTGTCACACAGGCCTGCCGGTCATCTCCCCTGTAGAAGAACTTATGTCACATTCGATTCTTTATTTATTTATTTTTTTTGCTGTTCTTGCCCATATTTAATTTGATGGATCATATGTCATGTGATCGATAACGGTTGAATTCATTTTGTGTCTAATGGTTTTGAATCATACAATATGGGCAATCCAATGACATAAGTAAACATTTCGAAATCCTGGTTTAAGAAGATGTAAATTTGAATCATAAAACTATCCTTTGAAGAACTGCATCCGTTTCTCCCAAAAAAAAAAAAAAGAAAAAAAAAAGACCGAATGGCTGATTTGTGGGACTAATTTGCACTTAATTAAGATCTGTGATTTTAATATTGGTAAAAATAGCCATGGCTGAGTGTTCAAAATTGGCGAAAAAAATTTAAAATAATCGACAAAAATCTTTGATGTAGCCTATAAAATAGGTGATAAATAGCCTTTAAAAAAATCGGTCTTCAAAATCCGTGAATAATAACATTGAAAATAATCTACCAAAATTTGAGATAGATAGCCTTCAAAATCGATAAAAAATACAATTTCCAAAAATCGGCCAAAATCTGTGATCGATAGCCTTCAAATTGGTGAATAATAGCAATAAAAATTGTCAAAGATAGCTAAGGGATAGCCTTCAAAATCGGTGACTAATTGCATTCAAAAGAATTGGCCAAAATATGTGCTGGATAGCCTACAAAATTGGTGATAAATATCATTTCGAAAAATCGGACCGAAGTTGTGATGGATAGGCTTCAAAATGGGTGATAATAGCATTAAAAAAAAGTTGGCCAAGAATCGGTGAAATGTAGTATTTCCAAAAATCGGCCAGAATCTGTGATGGACAGCCTTCAATATTGGTGAATAATACTATTCAAAAAATTTGACCAAAATTTGAGATGGATATCCTTCAAAATAAATGACAAATAACATTCCAGAAATCTGGCCAAAATTTGTGATTGACAACCTTCAAAATTGGTGAATAATAATAAAAAAATTGGCCAAAATTTCTAATGGATAGCCTTCAAAACCGGTGAATAATAGCATTCAAAATAGTAGGCAAAATTTTTGGATGGATAGCCTACAAAATTGGTGATAAATAGCATTCCCAAAAATCGGACAAAATATGTGATGAATAGCCTTCAAAATTATTGAATAATAGCTTTCAAAAGAATCGACCAAAATATGTGAAGGATAGCCTTCACAATCGACTTACAAAAGCATTTCCAAAAATCGGCAAAAATTTGTGACAGATAAGCTTCAAATCCGTGAAACATAGCATCTTCAAAAATCGGAAAAAATCTGTGATAGATAGCCTACAAAATCGGTGAAACATAGCATTCTCAAAAATCAGCCAAAATCTGTGATGGATAGCCTTAAAAATTGGTGAATAGTAGTATTGAAAACAATCATCCAAAATATGTTATAGACAACCTTCAAAATTGGTAAATAATAAAATTTAAAAGAATCGGGCAAAATCTGTGATGGGTAACCTTCAAAATCGGTGAAAAATAGCATTCCCAAAAATCAGCAAAAATCTGTGATGGATAGCCTTCAAAATTAGTTAATAATAGCATTCAAAAGAATCGGTGCTTAATGGACTTAATCATCTTTGAAGGGTAGCCTCACGCCGAATCCGTGATATGTAACCTTCAAAATCCAAAGAACATGGTCTTTCGTCGCCCAAAAAACTACGAAAATGCCATCCAAAAATAAATTGGTCCAAATCGGTGCTTAATGGACTTATCATCCGTGGAGAATAGGATCAATAGACTTCATTATCGGTGGAGAATAGCCTCGACCCAATTTCGTGATCTGCAACCACCAGAATCAAAAGAAAACGACATTTTGGAAAAATCACCCGAAATCTGTGATGGTACCCCCTTTGGAATCTACCAAAAATTGACTCAAAATAAATCCGCCCAAATCGGTGCTTAAAGAACTTAATCATCGTTGAAGAATAGCCTCAGCCCGAATTCGTGATCTGTAGCCTTCAAAATCCAAAGAAAATGGCATTTTGTCGCCCAAAAAATTACAAAAATTTCATCCGAAAATAAATTGGCCCAAATCGGTTCTTAATGGACTTATCATCCGTGGAGAATAGGATCAATAGACTTCATTATCCGTGGAGAATAGCCTCGGCCTGATTCAATGATCTGAAGCCTCCATAATCGAAAGAAAATGGCATTTCGGAAAACTCACCCGAAATCTGTGATGGTACACCTTTGGAATCTGCCAAAAATTGACCCAGAATAAATTCGCACAAATCGGTGCTTAATGGAATTAATCATTGTTGAAGAATAGCCTCAGGCCGAATTCGTGATTTGTAGCCTTCAAAATCCAAAGAAATTGGCATTTCGTCGCCAAAAAAAAAATTACGAAAATGCCATTCGAAAATAAATTGTCCCAAATTGGTGCTTAATGGACTTAACATCAGTGGAGAATAGGATCAATAGACTTCATTATTGGTGGAGAATAACCTCGGCCTGATTCCGTAATCTGCAGCCTCTAGAATCGAAAGAAAATGTAATTTCGGAAAAATCGCCTGAAATGTGTGATGGTACCCCTTTGGAATCTGCCAAAAAATGACCAGGAATAAATACGCCCGAATCGGTGTGAATGGACTTAATCATCATTGAAGAAAAGCCTCAGCCCGTATCCACGATCTGTAGCTTTCAAAATCAAAAGAAAATGGCCTTTCATCGGGCAAAAAATTACGAAAATGTCATCCGAAAATAAATTGGCCCAAATCGATGCTTAATGGACTTATCATCCTTGGAGAATAGGATCAATAGACTTCTTTATCGGTGGAGAATAGTCTCGGCCTGATTCCGTGATCCGCAACCTCCATAATCGAAAGAAAATGGCATTTCGGAAAAATTGCCCGAAATCTGTGATGGTACCCCTTTTGAATCTGCCAAAAATTGACTCAGAATAAATTCACCCAAATCGGCGCTTAATGTTCTTAATCATCGTTGAAGAATTGCCTCAGGACGGATTCGTGATCTATAGCCTTCAAAATCCAAAGAAAATGGCCTTTCCTCGCCCAAAAAATTACGAGGATGTCATCCGAAAATAAATTGTCCCAAAACTGTACTCAATGGAGTTATCATCCGTGCAGAATGGGATCAATAGACTGCATTGTCGGTGGAGAATAGCATCGGCCTGGTTCCATGATCTGCAGCCTACATAATCGAAAGAAAATGGCATTTCGGAAAAATTGCCCGAAATATGTGATGCCCTTTGGAATCTGCCAAAAATTAACTCGGAATAAATTTGCCCAAATTGGTGCTTAATCGACTTAATCATCGTTGAAGAATAGCCTCAAGACGTATCCGTGATCTGTAGCCTTCAAAATCCAAAGAAAATGGCATTTCGTCGCCCAAAAAATTACGTTAATGTCATCCGAAAATAATTGTCCCAAAACGGTACTCAATGGATTTATCATCCGTGCAGAATAGGATCAATAGACTTCATTGTCGGTGGGGAATAGCCTCGGACTGTATCCGTGATCTGCAGCCTACATAATCGAAAGAAAATGACATTTCGGAAAAATTGCCCGAAATCTGTGATGGTACCCCTTTGGAATCTGCCAAAAGTTGACACGGAATATATCCGCCCAAATCGGTGTTAATGGACTTAATCATCGTTGAAGAATAGTCTCAGGCCGAATCCGTGATCTGTAGCCTTCAAAATCCAAAGAAAATGGCCTTTCGTCGCCCAAAAAAATTTACGAAAATGCCATTCAAAAATTAATTATCCCAAATCGGTGCTTAATGGACTTAACATCCGAGGAGAATAGGATCAATAGACTTCATTATCGGTGGAGAATAACCTCGGCTTGATTCCGTGATATGCACCCTCCAGAATCGAAAGAAAATGGCATTTCAGAAAAATCGCCCGAAATTTGTGATGGTTCCCCTTTGGAATCTACCAAAAAATGACCGAGAATAAATCCGCCCAAATCGGTGCTTAATGGACTTAATCATTGTTGAAGAATAGCCTCAGCCCGAATCCGTGATCTGTAGCCTTCAAAATGCCAAGACAATGGCGATCGTCGCCCAAAAAATTACGAAAATGTCATCCGAAAATAAATTGGCCCAAATCAATGCTTAATGGACTTATCATCCTTGGAGAATAGGATCAATAGACTTCATTATCGGTGGAGAATAGCCTCGGCCTGATTCCGTGATCTGCAGCCTCCATAATCGAAAGAAAATGGCATTTCGGAAAAATCGCCTGAAATCTGTGATGGTACCCCTTTGGAATCTGCCAAAAATTGACCCGGAATAAATCCGCCCAAATCGGTGCTTAATGGACTTTATCATCGTTGGAGGGTAGCTTCAGTCCAAATCTGTGATCTGTAGCCTTCAAAATCAAAAGAAAATGACGTTTCGTCGCTCAAAAAATTACAAAAATGCCATCCAAAAATAAATTGGCCCAAATCGGTGCTTAATGGACTTATCATCCGTGGAGAATAGGATCAATAGACTTTAATATCGGTGGAGAATAGCCTCAGTCTGATTCAATGATCTGAAGCGTTCATAATCGAAAGAAAAAGGCATTTCGAAAAAATCACCCGAAATCTATGATGGTACCCCTTTGAAATCTGCCAAAAATTGACCTGGAATAAATCCACCCGAATCGATGCTTAATGGACTTAATCATCGTTGAAGAATAGCGTCAGGCCGAATCAGTGATCTGTAGCCTTGAAAATCAAAAGAAAATGGCCTTTTGTCGCCCAAAAGATTACGAGCCAAATCATTGCTTAATGGACTTATCATCCATGGAGAATAGGATCAATAGACTTCATTATAGGTGAAGAATAGCTTCGGCCTGATTACAGGTGTTTCAGTCTCAAGAATCGAAAGAAAATGGCATTTCGAAAAAATCGCATGAAATCTGTGATGGTACCGCTTTGGAATCTTCCAAAAATTGACCGGGAATAAATCCGCCCAAATCGGTGCTTGATGGATTGAATCATCGTTGAAGAATAGCCTCAGGGCGAATCCGTGATCTGTAGCCTTGAAAATCCAAAGAAAATGGTCTTTCCTCGCCAAAAAAATTACGAATATGTCATTCGAAAATAAATTGGCGCAAATAGGTGCTTAATGGAATTATCATCCGTCCAGAATAAGATCAATAGACTTCATTATCGGTGGAGAATAGCCTCGACTTGATTTCCTGATCTGCAACCTCAAGAATCGAAAGAAAACGACATTTCAAAAATCACTCGAAATCTGTGATGGTACCTCTTTGGAATCTGCCAAAAATTGACCCGGAATAAATACGCCCAAATCGGTGCTTAATGGACTTAATCATTGCTGAAGAATAGCCTCAGGCCGAATCCGTGATTTGTAGCCTTCAAAATCCAAAGAAATTGGCCTTTCGTCGCCCAAAAAATTACGAAAATGACATATGAAAATAAATTGGCCCAAATCGGTGCTTAATGGACTTATCATCTGTGGAGAATAGGATCAATAGACTTCATTATCGGTGGAGAATAGTCTTGACCTATTTCCGTGATCTGCCGCCTCCAGAATCGAAAGAAAATTCCATTTCGGAAAAATCGCATGATATCTGTGATGATACCCCCTTTGGAATCTGCCCAAAATTGACCCGAAATAAGTTCGCCCTATTCGGTGCTTAATGGACTTAATCATCGTTGAAGAATAGCTTCAGGACGAATCTGTGATCTGTAGCCTTCAAAATCCAAAGAAAATGGCCTTTCCTCGCCCAAAAAATTACGAAAATGTCATCCGAAAATAAATTGTCCCAAAACGGTGCTTAATGGACTTATCATCCATGAAGAATAGGATCAATAGATTGCATTATCGGTGGAGAATAGTCTCGACCTATTTCCGTGATCTGCCGCCTCCAGAATCGAAAGAAAATTGCATTTCAGAAAAATCGCCCGAAATCTGTGATGGTACCCCTTTGGAATCTGCCAAAAATTGACCCGCAATAAATTCGCCCAAATCGGTGCTTAATGGACTTAATCATCATTGAAGAATAGCCTCATGACGATTCCGTGATCTATAGCCTTCAAAATCCAAAGAAAATGGCCTTTCCTAGCCCAAAAAATTACGAAAATGTCATCCAAAAATATATTCTCCCAAAACGGTGCTTAATGGACTTAACATCCGTGGAGAATAGGTTCAATAGACTTCATTATCGGTGGAGAATAGCCACGAACCGATTTCGTGATCTGCAGCCTACAGAATAGAAAGAAAACGACATTTCGGAAAAATCATCCGAAATCTGTGATGGTACCCCTTTGGAATCTACCAAAAATTGACCAGGAATAAATTCGCTCAAATTGGTGCTTAATAGACTTAATCATCGTTGAAGAATAACCTTAGGCCGAATCCGTGATCTGTATCCTTCAAAATTCAAAGAATATGTCGTTTCCTCGCCCAAAAAATTACAAAAATGCCATCAGAAAATGAATTGGCCCAAATCGGTGATTAATAGACTTTTCATCCGTGGAGAATAGGATCAATAGACTTCATTATAGGTGAAGAATAGCATTGGCCTAATTCCGTGTTTTGCAGTCTCCAGAATCGAAAGAAAATGACATTTCGGTAAAATCGCATGAAATGTGTGATGGTACCCTTTTGGAATCTTCCAAAAATTGAGCCGGAATAAATCCGCCCAAATCGGTGCATAATGGACTTAATCATCGTTGAAGAATAGCCTCAGGCTGAATCCGTGATCTGTAGCCTTCAAAATCCAAAGAAAATGGCCTTTCCTTGTAAAAAAAAAATGTCATCCGAAAATAATTTGGCTCAATCGGTGCTTAATGGATTTATCATCCGTGGAAAATAAGATCAATATACTTCATTATTGGTGGAGAATAGCCTTGACCTGATTTCGTGATTTGCAACTTCCAAAATCGAAAGAAAATGGAATTTTGGAAAATTCGCCAGAAATCTGTGACGGTACCCCCTTTGAAATCTGCCAAAAATTGAGCCGGAATAAATCTTCCCAAATCGCTTCTTAATGGACTTAATCGACATTAAAGAATAGCCTCGGCCTAATTCCGTGATTTGCAACCTCAAGAATTGAAAGAAAATGGCATTTCGGAAAAACTTCCCGAAATCTGTGATGGTACCCCTTTGGAATCTGCCAAAATTTGACCCGGAATAAATCCGCCCAAATCGGTGCTTAATGGACTTTATCATCGTTGAAGGGTAGCCTCTGTCCGAATTCGTGATCTGTAGTCTTCAAAATCCAAAGAAAATGATCTTTCGTCGCCCAAAAAATTACGAAAATGCCATCCGAGAACAAATTGGCCCAAATTGGTGCTTAATGGACTTATCATCCGTGGAGAATATGATCAATAGACTTCATTATCGATGGAGAATAGCCTCGACTTGATTTCGTGATCTGCAACCTCCAGAATCGAAAGTAAACGGCATTTTGGAAAAATCGCCCGAAATCTGTGATGGTACCCCTTTGGAATATACCAAAAATTGACTCGGAATAAATCCGCCAAATCGTTGCTTAATGAACTTAATCATCGTTGAAGAATAGCCTCAGACCAAATCCGTGATCTGTAGCCTTCAAAATCCAAAGAAAACGGCGTTTCGTCGCACAAAAAATTACAAAAATGTCATCCGAAAATAAATTGGCCCAAATTGGTGCTTAGTGGACTTATCATCCGTGGAAAATAGGATCAATAGACTTCATTATCAGTGGAGAATAGCCTCGGCATGATTCAATGATCTGAAGCCTCCATAATCGAAAGAAAATGGCATTTCGAAAATTCGCCCAAAATCTGTGATGGTACCCCTTTGGAATCTGCCAAAAATTGACCTGGAATAAATTGGCACAAATCGGTGCTTAATGGACTTAATCATTGTTGAAGAATAGCCTCAGGCCGAATTCGTGATTTGTCGCCTTCAAAATCCAAAGAAATTAGCCTTTCGTCGCCCAAAAAATTACGAAAATGCCATATAAAAATAAATTGGCCCAAATCGGTGCTTAATGGACTTATCATTAGTGGAGACTATGATCAATAGACTTCATTATCGGTGGAGAATAGCCTCGGCCTAATTTAGTGATTTGCAACCTCCAGAATTGACAGAAAATGGCATTTCGGAAAAATCGCCTGAAATCTGTGATGGTACCCCTTTGGAATCTGCCAAAATTTGACCCGGAATAAATCCGCCCAAATCGGTGCTTAATGGACTTTATCATCGTTGAAGGGTAGCCTTAGTCCGAATCCGTGATCTGTAGCCTTCAAAATCCGAAGGAAATGGCCTTTCGTCGCCCAAAAAATTACGAAAATGCCATCCGAGAACAAATTGGCCCAAATCGGTGCTTAATGGACTTATCATCAGTGGAGAATATGATCACTAGACTTTATTATCGGTGGAGAATAGCCTCGACTTGATTTTGTGATCTGCAACCTCCAGAATCGAAAGTAAACGGCATTTTGGAAAAATCGTCCAAAATCTGTTATTATACACCTTTGGAATCTGCCAAAATTTGACCCCGAATAAATCCGCCCAAATCGGTGCTTAATAGACTTTATCATCGTTGAAGGGTAGCCTCAGTCCGAATCCGTGATCTGTAGACTTCAAAATCCAAAGAAAATGGCCTTTCGTCGCCCAAAAATTTACAAAAATTCCATCTGAAAATAGATTGGCCCAAATCGGTGCTTATTGGACTTATTATCCGTGGAGAATAGGATCAATAGACTTCATTATCGGTGGTGAACAGCCTCGGCCTGATTCAATGATCTGAAGCTTCCATAGTCGGAAGAAAATGGCATTTCGGAAAATTCACACGAAATCTGTGATGGTACCCGTTTGGAATCTGCCAAAAATTGTCCCGAAATATTCGCACAAATCGATACTTAATGGACTTAATCATTGTTGAAGAATAGCCTCAGGCCGAATTCGTGATTTGTAGCCTTCAAAATTCAAAGAAATTGGCCTTTAGTAGCCCAAAAAATTACGAAAATGTAATATGAAAATAAATTGGCCCAAATCAGTGCTTAATGGACTTATCATTCGTGGAGAATAGGATCAATATACTTCATTATCGGTGGAGAATAGCCTCGACCCGATTTCATGATCTGCAGCCTCCAGAATTGAAAGAAAATGACATTTCGGAAAAATCTCCAGAAATCTATGATGGTACCCCTTGGAATCTGCCAAAAATTGACCCGGAATAAATCCCCCCAAATCGGTTCTTAATGGACTTTATCATCGTTGAAGGGTAGCCTCAGTCCAAATCCGTGATCTGTAACCTTCAAAATCCAAAGAAAATGGCCTTTCGTCGCCCTAGAATTACAAAAATGCCATATGAAAATAAATTGGCCCAAATCGATGCTTAATGGACTTATCGTCCGTGGAGAATAGGATCAATATACTTCATTATCGGTGGAGAATAGTGACACGCCAAAACACAACACCAATCTGCGACCAAGTGTAATCGCAGACCGGGAATGCAGTAACAGGCAAGTTATATTATCAACCCGGGGTCTAGATCTACTGCTTACTCAGTGATTCTCTGTTATCTAGCCAACTAGAGTAAGTGATTGTTGTTTAAACTAAAAGCAGAAATAAAGCAGGAAATTATTCGGTTTTCTTAAGCAGGAAAGAGTCACTCGGGAATGAATCCCCCTAGCTCCTTAGTTAGGTTCAATTGCAATTCCCTGGGTTGATTTACTGTTGATTAGACTGCGGAAGATCCGGCAGTAGCTTGGAATCTCTTAAGCTGACCAAGCCCTCTCAGTCTAACTACCCGGCAGACGACTAGTCTTCACCGGGATAGAAAGCTGAAGCAGTAAGAACAGAAATTCACTACTGGAATTAGATTCCAGTACAGAGCAGTAAACTGGCTAACTCTCGTATAACCAATTCACCACTATCAATCAAGGAAGCTCTCTTAACCTAATCAGATTCTATCTATCATAGGTTAAAGCAGAAATCAAGAGAATTTGATCAAGATTCAATTGACTCAATAAAGCATGTCTCAATCGATTAAAACCAAACAGTAATATCATCCCAAGTCATTACAATCAATCCCTAACACATAGAACTAGGGTTCTTCATCCCCAAGTGAGAGAAGGGTTCTACTCCATAGAGAGAGAAGAGAAAACAAGAATCGGATTAGTCATACTCATAACGATGAGGATAATCTGCTCCGGGACGATGATTTTCACTCCTATGACGATCTCCAGGCTCGATTCGATGAAATCCAGCTCTAAGACAGCTTCTAGGATGTGTTCTTCGTACTTTCTCTCTCTAGGGCTCTGTTTTTGCTTTGAAAAACACTGTCCTCTCACTTCTGGCTCGGATTAGGCTTTAAAACCGGGTTTCCCGAGTTGCACGGCCAGGGTGCACGGCCGTGCACCTCACCATTCTGGCCGTGCACCATGAAACGCAGCGTATCCCTTAAGTCGAACTCAGGCTTCTTGCACGGCCAGGTGCACGGCCGTGCAATCTTCAGGGCCTGCCCGTGCAGCTCCCCGGCATGAGGCGCACGGCCAGCTTGCAACCGTGCACGGCCGTGCAGCCTCCCTGGTCTGCCCGTGCAGCTCCCCAAAAACCTCGCCATTCGTCCGTTCTTCGTCCAATCGACCCCAGACTCGCTCCTAAGCCTTCATTCACGTACTAGGACCTGAAATATCACAAACAAGCACAACCTAGCGTGAAATCGGCCTAAAACACGAGAATCAACACCTCAAACGGTGTAAGAACGGGGGTAAAAACATGTGTAAATGACGGTCTATCAAACTCCCCCACACTTAACCGTTTGCTTGTCCCCAAGTAAACCAAGTCAGACACTAGGTAAGCTTACACATTTCAATCAACCAACATTGGGGACAAGTCATAAAGGCACAGAACACGTGAATCGCACTGGTTTTCAAACATCAATACATGCACAACCTCAATAACAACCTGGACAACCACCACAAAGGACATTCGAGTGCAGCAAATCGAGTAAAGGAAGAGTCTCCCTTCTGTTCACTGGCCAACCTAGACTTGATTCAACCACTTACTCAAAACAGTCAACTCATGCATTCAACTCAAGACATCAGAATAGAGACCGAGCAATCTAGGTCCTCACCGGGGTACAAGAGCATATAGAAAATGAAAATGAATCACTCACTCTCGACCAGTGGGGTCAGGACAATTTGATGCGAAAGATGCGCATGCTATTTCTCTCAATCCCTATCATCTCTTCACCATGATGGCAGCCTCTAAATGCTAGAGTTCACATATGGGGTGTCATCACTAACTAATCAGGAGGTCTTAGACACAGGTTCAAATGACTGGCTAGGGTCTTGGACATGGGGAAAAGGCCTTTTAGGTGGTGGAAGTATTCATAGCAAAAGGTTCCACATTTCCCGAACACACAAACACAGTCAGCAACCCGGTATTTTCTTTCTGCTATCCTGCATTACTCAATATCTTAAGAGCACAAGAGCGAAGGAGGCATAAACATCAGCATTTCCAAGCCAGACTGCTAAGAAACACTACTTACTGGGCATTATTCAGATTTTTGGTAGTGGCTCTCTTTTACTTTCAATTTTTTTTTCTTTGTTTCACTTTCATTTTTCTTTTCATTTCTTAAGAGAGCCACCACTTCTGCATAAACTTCAAACACCTGCCCAACTTTTAAGCACTACCTCCAACACTCACATAAACTTTAGCAGAAACAGCAGAGAATATATAAAAAACCACTCTGTGGAACCTTCTAAAAGATGCAACAAGGGTGATTTTTTTCCATTATAGACCAAAAGAAAGGATAACACACGGCTCAAAGGGGCTGACTAGGGGATATGACACATCAGGACAGTCAGTTTTGGGCGTGGGCTAATCCTATGCCCCCATCATCTTAGCTAGTGACAACGTGAATGCTACACATCATGGAAGAGGGATCTATCGCACAAGAAAGAAACGAGCAGGCTCAAATCTCACATGGCTACCTATATGCTCTATCTCATATTCTGCTACCCTGAATTAGATGCATAAACGACTGTTAAGAACAAGTAATCAGATCAAGTCAGATCAAGTCACAGTTGGCAAGCAAACAGTTGAAAAACTGAACCCCTACATCGTTTTACTGCACATCTCAGTCCTCATCATAGGTTGTCCTAGTCGCAAACAAGTTGTCATGCATTAATCCGAAAACCAATCAATTCATCCATCAAAACACAGTGCCAATATGATCAAACAGCAGTACTTGGAGCCCTCAAATCGTAAGATTCGGACAGCGGACTAGGCTCCAAGCACCATCATAAATATTCCAACCGATACAAAGCATCCCCCCACACTTAAGAACGACATTGCCCTCAATGGAGCAGAGGGAAAGATAAGGGGAACGATGTTACCGGGTAGGAACACTGCTGGGGGACTGGAAGTGGACCAGTCAGCGAGAAACGAACGGGGGAGTGGACAATGCTGCACAAATCGAACATCAGAAACACACTAGCACACTGTGCGTTAGGGATAAGTGTTAGCCCAGACGGCTACATCAAACCACAAAGGAAAAACCAAAAACAAAAACAAACGACACTAAGTTCAAGCTCCGCACACATGGAGCAAACACACAAAAGTCTACAATGAAAAAGAAAACACACTGAGACGGGCAACGAGTACAGCCTACTCGTCGCCAAGATCGTCGAGGTCGATGTCGTTCATGAACGCATCATCATCAGCAGCGCCAGCAGTTCCATCATCACCGTCAGCTGAAGCACCCCCGGCCGCACGGGCAGGCGCGCACGGCCGTGCATGGCGTGCTTCTGCCCGTGCAGGCCGACACGGCCTGGCCGAGCCGAGGCGCACGGCTGTGCACCTGTCGCTTTTGGCCGTGCACTCCTGGCCGAGAGCTCGCACGGCCAGGCCAGGCATAGCGCACGGCCGTGCAAGTCTAGGTTCTGGCCGTGCGACTTGCTGGGGTCCCGAAATCAACCTGTTTTCGCTCAAAAATGACACGTAACTCTGGATCGTCGTCTCAAGACTCAAAAACACACAAAATCAAAGGAAAAGAGTAAGAAAATGCAAACCTCGGTGGGGTTGCCTCCCCACAAGCGCTTCTTTACCGTCTTTTAGCTGGACGCCAGTATGGATGCTCAGGGAAGTGTAGGATCAGGTGCCTTCAAGAGCGGTTCCACATCGCTCTTGAGGTACAGCTTCAAATGGTGGCCATGCACGCGACGAATGTGGCCACCTGCATTCGCCAGCTCGACTTGGCCATCCGGTAGGATGCAAGCGAGTGAATACTCGGATGGCCAAGGAGGGGGCGGGACCAGCTCATAGTGGTCTCCGGCTTCCTTTCGAGCAGGCTTAGCTGCCGGCAGTTTCGGCCGCCACTCCTCCTTGATCTGTTCTTTGGGTGACGGAGTGGTCCGGAGTGGCGGCGAAGGTGTGGGAGGCGGTTCCTGCAAAATAGGCAGCACAGAAGGATACACGACAGACTCGTGCTCCTGGTGAGATACAGCATGCAGAGGTGACGAAGCAGGTATATTATCAGCAACAGAAAACGTTATTCGCTCCTCGCCATCCCTCAAAACTAAGGTCCCATCATGCACATCTATGAGAGCCTTGGCGGTGGCCAGGAAAGGCCTTCCCAGTATAAGAGGCACTTCTGTGTCCTCACTGATGTCCAAGATAACAAAATCCACGGGATATGTGAATTTGCCAACCTTAACCAGAAGGTCTTCCACTATACCCCTAGGATGCACTACAGATCTGTCAGCTAATTGAAGGGTCATCCTAGTAGCACGGGGTTCACCTAGGCCTAGTTTCATGAACAATTTATATGGAATAACATTGATACTAGCACCTAAATCCGCCAAGGACTTCTCTACATGCAATTTATCAATAGAGCATGGGATAGTAAAACTACCTGGGTCCTTCTTCTTCTGCGGAAGCTTGTTTTGCAGAATAGCCGAGCATTCCTCGCTGAGCTCTACCGTGGCCAGCTCACTCAGTTTCTGCTTCTTTGAGAGAAGCTCTTTCAGAAACTTCGCATACTTTGGCATTTGCGATAGTGCCTCCAGGAAGGGCACTTGGACATTCAGCTTCTTAAGCATGGCGATGAAGTTCTCGAACTCTGCCTCCAGCCTGTCTTTGTGCAACCGAGTAGGGAAAGGGAGTTTAGGGACATACTCCTTCACTACTGGTTGCGGTTTAGGTGCAGGCACCTCAACTTCCTTCTCTACTTCCTGTTCAACCGCTGGAGCCGCTAAGACAGGGCTTTCTTTCTCCGGTTCCCGAGCAGGGGGATCAATAGTCATCTTGCCACTCCTGGTCATGATGGCATTGCACCGCTCATTCGGGGTCGGCGGGTGAGGGATGGTCTGCCCTGGTAGAGTACCAGGAGCCCTTTGAGCCACTGCCTGGGCCACGCTCCCCAGCTGGGTCTGGATATCCTGCAAAACAGCCCGTGTATTCCTCTGACCAGCTTCCAGAGCCAGGAGTTGACCCGAGGCCTTCTCCATGAATTGCTCAAAGGTGTTGAATTTCTGAGCACTAACACTGGCAAGAGAACCCACCAAGTCCCGCAGTTCAGCCATCTGATCATTCTGCACTGGGGCAGCAGGGGCTGCACCTGGCTGCTGGAATTGCCCCTGTCTGGGCTGATATGGTGGCCTCTGGAAGCCCGGTGGTCCCTGTGGAGCTGGTGGTCTGGGATTTGGCCCAGCCCAGGAGAAGTTAGGATGCTGGCGCCACCCCTCATTGTACGTGTTGCTGTAGGGGTCATTGCGCCTGACATTGTTGATGAAGTTCACCTGCTCCTGGGGTGTGGTCGATTCCTTCATCGCCTGGCAGTCTTCTACCATATGATGGGTGCTCTCGCACCACTGGCAGAACATCGCCTGCTGCTGTCCGGTCCCTGGAATCATCCCGGAACGATCGATAGCTGAGACCAGCTTCGATACTACCTGCACCAAATCGGATGACTGGGTGCCCACAGCATGCACACCCCGGCCTGGTGCTCTCCTCGATCTCCTGGCAGTGCCCCAATCATAACCATTCTCCGCCATCTCTTCAAAGAGTTGATTCAGCTGTGGCGGGGTTTTGGTCAGCATGTTCCCGCCACAAACCGAATCGATCAGCTGCTTGTCCTCCAGGAAGAGGGCGTGATAGAAGGTGCCCACCTTGAACGCATCGTTGAAACCATGATTGGGACACCTGAGGAAAAGACTGTTGTACCTCTCCCATGCATCCCTAATGGTCTCATCCTCATCCTGAGCAAAATGTGTAATTTGCTTCTGCAGGTCAGCTGTCTTGGATGGAGGATGGTAGCGGGTGAGGAACTTGTCCGCCAGGTTGGCGAACGTGGTGATGGAGCCCGGAGATCGAGTGTCTAGCCACTCCTTGGCCTGCCCCTCCAGAGTGAATGGGAAGTACCTCAGCTGGATGGCATCTGCTGGTACCCCATTGATCTTGATTCCATCGATGAGCTCGTGGAATCGCCTGAGATGTGATCGAGGGCACTCTCCCTCCTTACCACGGAACACTACTGAACCGCGCAGCATGGTGATCACGGAGGTGCTCACCTCAAAGTTGTTGGCTGGGACCTGAGGGTGCTGAATGGGTGACCTCATGTCCGCAGCCCTAGCGGTCCAGTAGGAGCCCATGGTCTGCTCCTCGGGGATCACAACATGGTTCCCTGGTTCAGCCATCTCTTCTTCTTCCTCCTCTAACTGCAGCTGTGATAGCGCCTCCTCCGCAGCCAGTCGCGCCTTTAGAGCCCGCTTGAAGTTTCTGCAGGTTCGTTCAAGCTCCTGGTCTAGTGGTAGTAGATCTCCCGACTGGCTACGGGTCATGCACTACCTGCACACAATCAGCAGAAACAACCCGTGAAGGCACACAGGTGGAAGAAATAAAAAGCAGAAAATAAAAGCTAGAGTAACAAATTCTCACGTTTCCTCAATAACCTAGAGGGTTCCCCGGCAACGGCGCCAAAAACTTGGCACGCCAAAACACAACACCAATCTGCGACCAAGTGTAATCGCAGACCGGGAATGCAGTAACAGGCAAGTTATATTATCAACCCGGGGTCTAGATCTACTGCTTACTCAGTGATTCTCTGTTATCTAGCCAACTAGAGTAAGTGATTGTTGTTTAAACTAAAAGCAGAAATAAAGCAGGAAATTATTCGGTTTTCTTAAGCAGGAAAGAGTCACTCGGGAATGAATCCCCCTAGCTCCTTAGTTAGGTTCAATTGCAATTCCCTGGGTTGATTTACTGTTGATTAGACTGCGGAAGATCCGGCAGTAGCTTGGAATCTCTTAAGCTGACCAAGCCCTCTCAGTCTAACTACCCGGCAGACGACTAGTCTTCACCGGGATAGAAAGCTGAAGCAGTAAGAACAGAAATTCACTACTGGAATTAGATTCCAGTACAGAGCAGTAAACTGGCTAACTCTCGTATAACCAATTCACCACTATCAATCAAGGAAGCTCTCTTAACCTAATCAGATTCTATCTATCATAGGTTAAAGCAGAAATCAAGAGAATTTGATCAAGATTCAATTGACTCAATAAAGCATGTCTCAATCGATTAAAACCAAACAGTAATATCATCCCAAGTCATTACAATCAATCCCTAACACATAGAACTAGGGTTCTTCATCCCCAAGTGAGAGAAGGGTTCTACTCCATAGAGAGAGAAGAGAAAACAAGAATCGGATTAGTCATACTCATAACGATGAGGATAATCTGCTCCGGGACGATGATTTTCACTCCTATGACGATCTCCAGGCTCGATTCGATGAAATCCAGCTCTAAGACAGCTTCTAGGATGTGTTCTTCGTACTTTCTCTCTCTAGGGCTCTGTTTTTGCTTTGAAAAACACTGTCCTCTCACTTCTGGCTCGGATTAGGCTTTAAAACCGGGTTTCCCGAGTTGCACGGCCAGGGTGCACGGCCGTGCACCTCACCATTCTGGCCGTGCACCATGAAACGCAGCGTATCCCTTAAGTCGAACTCAGGCTTCTTGCACGGCCAGGTGCACGGCCGTGCAATCTTCAGGGCCTGCCCGTGCAGCTCCCCGGCATGAGGCGCACGGCCAGCTTGCAACCGTGCACGGCCGTGCAGCCTCCCTGGTCTGCCCGTGCAGCTCCCCAAAAACCTCGCCATTCGTCCGTTCTTCGTCCAATCGACCCCAGACTCGCTCCTAAGCCTTCATTCACGTACTAGGACCTGAAATATCACAAACAAGCACAACCTAGCGTGAAATCGGCCTAAAACACGAGAATCAACACCTCAAACGGTGTAAGAACGGGGGTAAAAACATGTGTAAATGACGGTCTATCAAATAGCCTCGGCCTAGTTCCGTGATCTGCACCCTGCAGAATCGAAAAAGAAATGGCATTTCGCAAAAATCGCCCGAAATATGTGATGGTACCTCTTTGGAATCTGCCAAAATTTGACCGAGAATAAATCTGCCCAAATCGGTGCTTAATGGACTTTATCATGGTTGAAGGGTAGCCTCAGGCTGAATCCGTGATTTGTAGCCTTTAAAATCCAAAGAAATGGGCCTTTCGTCGCCCAAAAAATTACGAAAATGTCATAAGAAAATAAATTGACCCAAATAAGTGCTTAATGGACTTATCATTCGTGGAGAATAGGATCAATAGACTTCATTATCGGTGGAGAATAGCCTCGGCCTAAATCCGTGATTTGCAAACTCCAGAATTGAATGAAAATGGCATTTCGGAAAAATCGCCCGAAATCTGTGATGGTACCCCTTTGGAATCTGCCAAAATTTGACCCGGAATAAATCCGCCCAAATCGGGGCTTAATGAACTTAATCATCGTTGAAGAATAGCCTCAGACCGAATCCGTGATCTGTAGTCTTCAAAATCCAAAGAAAATGATCTTTTGTCGCCCAAAAAATTACGAAAATGCCATCCGAGAACAAATTGGCCCAAATTGGTGCTTAATGGACTTATCATCCGTGGAGAATATTATCAATAGACTTCATTATCGACGGAGAATAGCCTCGACTTGATTTCGTGATCTGCAACCTCCAGAATAAGTAAACGGCATTTCTGAAAAATCGCCTGAAATATGTGATGGTACCCCTTTGGAATCTATCAAAAATAGACTCAGAATAAATCCGCCAAATCGTTGCTTAATGAACTTAATCATCGTTGAAGAATAGCCTCAAACTGAATCCGGGATCTGTAGCCTTCAAAATCCAAAGAAAACGGCGTTTCGTCGCACAAAAAATTACAAAAATGTCATCCGAAAATAAATTGGCCCAAATCGGTGCTTAGTGGACTTATCATCCATGGAAAATAGGATCAATAGACTTCATTATCAGTGGAGAATAGCCTCGGCCTGATTAAATGATCTGAAGCCTCCATAATCGAAAGAAAATGGCATTTCGGAAAATTCGCCCAAAATGTGTGATGGTACCCCTTTGGAATCTGCCAAAAATTGACCCGGAATATATTGGCACAAATCGGTGCTTAATGGACTTAATCATTGTTGAAGAATAGTCTCATGCCGAATTCATGATTTGTAGCATTCAAAATCCAAAGAAATTAGCCTTTCTTCGCCCAAAAATTACGAAAATGCCATATAAAAATAAGGGCTAATACCACTACTACACCCGAACTATCCGGAAAATGCCACTTGTGTCCTATTGTTGCCAATATTCCATCTGTGTCCTGAACTATTATTCCGGTAGTGTTGACCGACATTGACCGTTAGTATTTAATAGAAAATCTAGTCAGCGTTAACGTGGCATCTGATGTGGAATTTTCATTATCAATTTTCATTAATTTTTCCATCTAAAATAATTAAAATAAGGAAAAAAAGTTTGTAATTAACATTTCAAAATAATCTCCATGATTCATTCCCTGCATTCCATTTCCTTCTTTTCACTTGTGGATTCCATTTCTATTCCCTGCAGCTACGAAGCTACCAATCCATTTATATTCCCGCAGCTACCACCGACCGGACCAGGAGCTCGGAGCTAGAACTCGAGCCCGAGCTCCATACCTGTCGAACAACAAGAGAAAAAAAATTGAAATCAATCCATGTTGCTTTCGAAGAGCCCCTTTAGATCGAAAGCCATTGACACAGACCAGGAGCTGGGAGATATGAATAACTGTGGTAAAGAAGTCCAGATCTAGTCAACATGGCCGACCGGAGACAGAAGCGGCGCCGGACCTCCAATTTAGTTAGCGATGAAACCCTAAAGCAGCTTCCATCGTCATCGTCTTCGCCTCCATCACACTCATCTCCTTCGTTGCAATTGGAGCCAAGCGGTGGCACAAAGCTGGAGATGAACTCGCTTGTAGAGGAAAGGTAGATCTGGAGTTGAAATCCCGATTTGTCAAATATTTCAAACTAGGGAAGCTTGAGGAATCAGTGGCCTATGGTGAACGCGACGGTAGGAGAGCCGCCCGGAGGAGGATACAGAGATATGATGGCGGCAAGGTGAAGCGGCGACAACACTATGGGACCAGATCTGTTTTATTTTTCTTCGGATCCGTCGTAGCTTCTTTTGGCAGAGAGGGTCGAAGGTGGTCATCGTCGATGGGAGAAGCAAAAAGAGAGACACCAGGGAAGAAGGTTTGTGATGGGATTTGGGGTTTTCTTGGTTGAAGTAATGGGCAAGCTTAATTGATTTTCAGATCGAGAAAGATGGATGGGTTTGAGTAGGCCAGAAATCTTTGCAGGTGGAGAGGAAGCGAGGAAGGGAAGGAATAGGGGCGAAAGAGTGATGTATTTTTTTGATTCATCGGCGATTAGAGCTTTTGTTGGTGGCGTGTTTTCCTTTTCTTTGTAATTTTCTATCGGAGAGTGGAGACCGGTGAATCTGATGGCGTCGAGCTTGTTCTGTATAAAGTCCCTGAATGCTACCTTTACCCGGTGAATCTGAGAGGAACCGAAGGTCGTGGGGAGGGGAATCGAAGGTGGGGGGGAGGGAAATCGAAGGTTGGGGAGGGGAATCGAAGGTTGGGGAGGGAGAAGGTCAAGGGCGGCTGCCGATACGATATCAATGGAGATTTTTTTTATTTGAATTTTGGGGTTTTAGAATATTATTTAGTAATATTCTTGAATTTAAAGGTTTTTCTATTTTTTATTTTCAAAGTTTTATAAAATATAAATTAAAAATGTGAGGTGTCAATGACTTGGCACTGCCACGTCAGCAAAAGTCAATGTTAAGTTGACCGCCGTTAGGTCAACTGTTATCTTTAACGGTCAACAAAATTGGCAGGATACAAATGACAAAAAAATATAATAGTTCAGGATATGAATGGAATATTGAAAAGAATAGGATAAAAGTGGCATTTTCGTCATAGTTCGGGTGTTGTAGTGGTATTAGCCCTAAAAATAAATTGGCCAAAATCGGTGCTTAATGGACTTATCATTCGTGGAGAATGGGATCAATACACTTCATTATCGGTGGAGAATAGCCTTGGCCTAATTCCGTTATTTGCAACCTCCTGAATTGAAAGAAAATGGCATTTCCGAAAAATCGCCCGAAATCTGTGATGGTACCCCTTTGGAATCTGCCAAAATTTGACCCGGAATAAATCCGCCCAAATCGTTGCTTAATGGACTTTATCATCGTTGAAGGGTAGCCTCAGTCCGAATCTGTGATCTGTAGCCTTCAAGATCCAAAGAAAATGGCCTTTCGTCGCCCAAAAAATTACGAAAAATGCCATCCGAAAACAAATTAGCCCAAATCGGCGCTTAATGGACTTATCATCCATGGAGAATAGGATCAATAGACTTCATTATCGGTGGAGAATAGTCTCGACCAATTTCCGTGATCTGAAGCCTCCATAATCGAAAGAAAATGGCATTTCGGAAAATTCGCCCAAAATCTGTGATGGTACCCCTTTGGAATCTGCCAAAAATTGACCCGGAATAAATTGGCACAAATTGGTGCCTTAATGGACTTAATCATCGTTGAAGAATAGCCTCAGGACGAATCTGTGATCTGTAGCCTTCAAAATCCAAAGAAAATGACCTTTCCTCGCCCAAAAAATTACGAAAATGTGATCCAAAAATAAATTGTCCCAAAACGGTGCTTAATGGACTTATCATTAGTGGAGAATAGGATCAATAGATTCATTATCAGTGGAGAATAGCCTCGGCCTAATTCAGTGATTTGCAACCTCCATAATTGAAAGAAAATGGCCTTTCGGAAAAATCGTCCGAAATCTGTGATGGTACCCCTTTGGAATCTGCCAAAATTTGACCCGGAATAAATCCGCCCAAATTGGGGCTTAATGGACTTTATCATCGTTGAAGGGTAGCCTTAGTCCAAATCCGTGATCTGTAGCCTTCAAAATCCAAAGAAAATAGCATTTCATCGCCCAAAAAATTACGAAAATTCCATCCGAGAACAAATTGGCCGAAATCGGTGCTTAATGGACTTATCATCCGTGGAGAATATGATCAATAGACTTCATTATCGGTGGAGAATAGCCTCGACTTGATTTCGTGATCTGCAACCTCCAGAATCGAAAGTAAACGACATTTTGGAAAAATCGCCTGAAATCTGCTATGGTACACCTTTGGAATCTGCCAAAATTTGACCTGGAATAAATCCACCCAAATCGGTGCTTAATGGACTTTATCATCTTTGAAGGGAAGCCTCAGTCCGAATCCGTGATCTGTAGCCTTCAAAATCCAAAGAAAATGGTCTTTCGTCGCCCAAAAAATTACGAAAATGCCATATGAAAATAAATTGGCACAAATCGGTGCTTAATGGACTTATCATTCGTGAAGAATAGGATCAATACACTTCATTATCGGTGGAGAATAGCCTCGGCCTAATTCCGTGATTTGCAACCTCCAGAATTGAAAGAAAATGGCATTTCGGAAAAATCGCCTGAAATCTGTGATGATACCCCTTTGGAATTTGCCCAAAATTGACCCAAAATAAATTTGTCCAAATCGGTGCTTAATGGACTTAATCATCGTTGAAAAATAGCCTCAGGACGAATCCGTGATTTGTAGCCTTCAAAATCGAAAGAAAATGGTCTTTCCTCGCCCAAAAAATTACGAAAATGTCATCCAAAAATAAATTCTTCCAAAATGGTGCTTAATGGACTTAACATCCGTGGAGAATAGGTTCAATAGACTTCATTATCGGTGAAGAATAGTCTCGACCCGACTTCGTGATCTGCAGCCTCCAGAATAGAAAGAAAACGACATTTTGGAAAAATCGCCCAAAATTTGTGATGGTACATCTTTGGAATCTACCAAAAATTAACCCGGAATAAATTCGCCCAAATCAGTTCTTAATGGACTTAATCATCATTTAAGAATAACATTAGGCCGAATCCGTGATCTATATCCTCCAAAATCCAAAGAATATGGCATTTCCTCGCCCTAAATATTACAAAAATGCCATCAGAAAATGAATTGGCCCAAATTGGTGATTAATAGACTTATCATCCATGGAGAATAAGATCAATAGACTTCATTATAGGTGAAGAATAGCTTCGGCCGGATTCCGTGTTTTGCAGTCTCCAGAATCGAAAGAAAATGGCATTTCGGAAAAATCGCATGAAATCTGTGATGGTAACCCTTTGGAATCTTCCAAAAATTGACCAGGAATAAATCCGCCCAATTCGGTGCATAATTGACTGAATCATTGTTGAAGAATAGCCTCAGGGCGAATCCGTGATCTGTAGCCTTCAAAGTCCTAAGACAATGGCCTTTCCTCGTCAAAAAAAATTTACGAATATGTCATCCTAAAATAAATTGGCCCAAATCGGTGCTTAATGGACTTATCATCCGTGAAGAATAAGATCAATAGACTTCATTATCGGTGGAGAATAGCCTCGACCTGATTTGGTGATCTTGCAGCTTCCAGAATTGAAAAAATAGCATTTCGGAAAAATCGCCCGAAATATGTGATGATACCCCTTTGGAATGTGCCAAAATTTGACACGGAATAAATCCGCCCAAACCAGTGCTTAATGGACTTTATCATCGTTGAAGGGTAGCCTCAGTCCGAATCTGTGATTTGTAGCCTTCAAAATCCTAAGAAAATGACATTTCGCCGCCCAAAAAATTATGAAAATGCCATCCGAAAACAAATTAGCCAAAATCGATGCTTAATGGACTTATCATCCGTGGAGAATAGGATCAATAAATTTCATTATCGGTGGAGAATAGCTTCGACCCGATTCGTGATCTGCGGCTTCCAGAATCGAAAGAAAACGGCATTTTGGAAAAATCACCCGAAATCTGTGATGGTACCCCTTTGGAATCTACCAAAAAATTGACTCAGAATAAATCCGCCCAAATTGGTGCTTAAAGAACTTAATCGTCATTGAAGAATAACCTTAGACCGAATCCGTGATCTGTGGCCTTCAAAATCCAAAGAAAACGGCGTTTCATCGCCTAAAAATTACAAAAATGCCATCCGAAAATAAATTGGAACAAATCGGTGTTTAGTGGACTTATCATCCGTGGAGAATAGGATCAATAGACTTCATTATCGGTGGAGAACCGCCTCG